AAGGGGTGCTATATACGGTGTTGAAATGGCCATTCCTGTTCACTGTTTTCACGTGGATTACTGTGTTGAGCTTTGGATATGTGCTTATCCGAGTCTACATTTTCCTCTATGAGCAATGGGTGACATGGCGGGGCAAAAGGGAAAGGCTGCGCCGGGAATTGTCTGCGCAGAAAAACTACCCAGATTGGTTGAAAGCGGCCCAGGCGCTGGACGTCCACCTCGGAACCGAGAAGTGGAAACAGACCGATGAATACGCTTACTACGATCATCTTACAATCAACAAAGTGGTGGGACAGCTGAAGAAAGTCAGAGCGGATGCAGAACGGGAGATAGACAATGGGCGGGGTGACTCGAGCGAAGCGTCGGCTATTGAAGAGCTCCGTACGCTATTGGAAGCTTGCGTCAAGAACAATTTCGCCGGTGTGGAGAACCCTCGAATATACAGCGAGACGTACTCTGGGACCAAAGACTTGGTCCAAGAGTACATCGACGAGGTACACGCGTGTATTGAACTCGTCCAAAACAGCAAGCAGATTGATAATGACGCCAAGTATCAGCTCTTCAAGCACCTTGATACGAATTTCGGTCGCACCGCTCTTTGTCTGTCAGGTGGAGCCACATTCGCTTATTATCACTTTGGTGTAGTCAAGGCCCTGCTGGATAATGGTGTCCTCCCGGAGATCATTACCGGGACATCAGGTGGAGCGCTAGTGGCGGGCCTGGTTGCGACCAGGACAGACGAGGAGCTGAAACAACTGCTCGTTCCCGCCTTAGCACATCGGATTCGCGCATGCCACGAAGGGTTTCCGACATGGGTCCGTCGCTGGTGGCGAACAGGTGCTAGGTTTGATACCGTCGACTGGGCCCGACAGTGCGGTTGGTTCTGCAGGGGCTCAACTACGTTTCGGGAAGCTTACGAGCGGACCGGGCGCATCTTGAATGTCAGCTGTGTGCCCTCAGATCCTCACTCGCCGACCATCCTGGCCAATTATCTGACATCCCCCGATTGCGTCATATGGAGTGCAGTGCTTGCTTCCGCGGCTGTTCCAGGCATTCTGAATCCGGTAGTTTTGATGACCAAAAAGCGTGATGGCACTCTAAAGCCTTACTCGTTTGGACATAAATGGAAGGATGGTAGCCTGCGGACTGATATACCAATCAAAGCGCTGAACCTACATTTCAACGTCAATTTTACGATAGTGTCCCAGGTAAGATTACCCTCGCTCCTTTGTGCTCTTTTGCCACTGACACCGCATCAGGTGAACCCCCACATCAACCTTTTCTTCTTCAGCTCTCGGGGAACGGTAGGGCGACCAGTCACACACCGCAAGGGCCGTGGCTGGCGTGGCGGCTTCCTCGGCACTGCAATCGAACAATACATCAAGTTAGACCTTAACAAATGGCTTCGAGTCCTTCGGCATTTAGAGCTTCTCCCACGACCGATGGGGCAAGACTGGAGTGAGATTTGGTTGCAAAAGTTCAGTGGCACTGTGACTATCTGGCCTAAGAGCATTCCCTCCGATTTCATCCACATTCTCTCCGACCCGAGCCCTGAACGTCTCGCTCGCATGATACATGTCGGTCAGCAAAGTGCATTCCCCAAAATCCAATTCATTCAAAACCGACTTAAAGTCGAAAACGAAATCATGAAAGGACTCCAAGAATCCAAAACAGGTGGACGCAGCCTCTCCCCAGTTCTCTCTCGTCGACTCCACAATACAGAAAGTGAACATTCAGGCCCCGTGGAGGAACATCTAGATGAGAACCTTTCAGATCGCGAAGGGTCCAGCTACAAAGACCAGTCGCGGTTCATCGACCTATCAGATACCATGTCCCAATCAACCGCCTCACCACGCCCTCAGACCCCGAATTCCCGGCGGGGGAGCATCATGGAGGAAATGCGACGCCAGTCTGCTGTTTTCTTTGATGATGCGGATTCCTACGGGGACGACGATCCAACGGTCATCTGAAAAATAAAATACAAGCGGCTTGAGCGCTCCCAGAGTTCACTTCGAGCGGAGAGTCTTTCTTCTTCAGGGCACCTGCAGCTCGGCCTTCCGTCATTATACTTCCTGCTCTCTGTGAGATTCATTATGACAGGCGGCTCTTGCCGGTATCTGCGGGCACTCTCAGGCCGTACGACCTATTGTCCTTGTCTAGCGTCTTTCCTTTTTTGTTCTCGTCTTACTTCCTTTCGTCAGCATAGCAAGGTGTCTTATTTCTTATTGATTATACATTTGGTCATTTTTGGCTTCGGCTATCTTTGCATTTGCTGCTTACATGTGTCACGGTAAGGTATTTACCTTTTGGAGACTGATAGAAGGCTATGTAATGTACATAATCGCTCCTAGTGTACGAATATTATATTCTCGGTATTTGTTTGAATGAAGTGGCGTGAACGTAGTCTCTCTGGTAAATACTAAGGGATATCATCTGCTCGATATCACCTTGGCGAAGCGGGGGTGCATGGTAAGTGACATCAGTCTCTAGCCTTTTTAGAAACACACTCGTGACAAACTTAGCTTTTGCAAATTATGCTAGTATGGACATAAATGTGTTATACTTTGTTATTTTTGAAGATCAAATAACAATCAAAATTAATATCATAGTGCGTTAGGGCTACTTGTCATAGATATGTCACGTAGGTCAAATATATATTGAACCGACTTCTTGCAACTGCAGAACAGCGTAATGAATGCTTCTGCACGATTACATAGAGTATATAGTACCTTATGTAAGGCTATTGTGGTTTAAAGTAAGTATAAATGAAGCCGGGGAAATACTCATATCATATTATAAGGGTTGATATTGCAGTTAGCTAAATTATGGACGAATATCAAATCCAACACCAATGTCATATCAATATAGACGATGCTATCAATATTTTGTTTTAGATTGGGTTGTATTTTTAGTATGAATCAAAACGCTGTTGTTGGATTAGTCTGTACGCCATAGATTGGGAACTCGACTGGGTCACGTCATTGTACATGAGATGGCTGGTTATTTCTCTGTTGCATGGAAGGACAAAGCTTGGTATTGGGATTGTAGGCCTTATAGGACGTTGATAGGTACTCATGAGCAAAAGAATGAAAACAGAATAGATGATATGTTAGACCGGTATAGACGTTGATCAAAGTTGACAAGTCCTTCACTATGTGCTTCGGGGATAACGAAGATATTTGAGCGCAGAAGGATATAATGTCTATTTAGCATTGTATGATCTTTTTCTTGTATACTCTAAAGGTAACTCAGCGCTCCAGTAAAACCCGGTAAGATCTTGGAATTCCGTTCAGCTATGTGAACGATTGATTGTATGTTGTTGACTCCTTAAATGTGATCTCTGTATACAGGCAAAGAGTTCTCAGTCTGGTCATTCACCATCTTCGTCAGATGAATCAGAGGAACTAAATTCGCCCGACCCAAGATACTCCGCCAACGTGGTTCTATCACAGCCGATCCAGCGCTTTAGTACCGGAAATTGTGCTGCGTGTTTATGAAAGCTCGGAGCATTGATTGTTGAATTGCACTCCATATCGTAATTGTCGTGATTGTCGTAAATGTGATCAACCTTCACTTGGATCTCCTCGAGCGTATCACGATGCAGGAACAAAGCCTCTACAAACTCAGCCACCGTTGCCCGGTTGTATTCCGCGTTCTTAAGCTCATGGTGCCAGAAGCGCTCTGCATGGCTGATACTAAGGAATCTCAGTGCCCTTGGAGCACGCAAGGCCTTTTTTAAAGCCGGAAAGTTCACAAAGCTGTTCTCGATGCGTAATGATTGAAGTTCGGTCTGGCGTTCATATTGAAGATCGATCTCGCCATCTTCTTCCTCAAGCATAAAACCACGCAACGTGAGATTATGGAGTTGTGGGATGATGAAGATGTGCGAGTAGTGAATGAATGCTGCTTGGCCATTGCGTTCAGAGCGGTCGAGAGTCACTGATATATAGATGTTAGCTCTGGTCTTTCATCTTCTCTCTATGGACGCCAGTGACTTACGGGATCGAAGATTCGTAGAAACTCGCGATTCTACAGGTTGCTTCAAGCTCGCTTTTTCAAGGTAGTCCCAGAGATAGCCTTCAAGGGTATCCCAATTTTCGTCTTCAGTGTCCCACATCCAGTAGCCACCGACTAGCGTGAGGCTTTGCATGTTCTCTAGCTTCTCGAGACATGGCACAACACGACAAGGAGAGATATCGACATCCCAATGTTGGACCGCGACTGTGACATGGCGGACCAAATCGGCATATTTTGTCTCGACTGTCCGTACGAACTCGTTGCTTTTGCCGAGTTGGATGTCTGCCGATTCGTAAAGATGCGGTGTTGTCAAGAAGTTAAGAGCATGGCATGTTCGTGCCAGTGCTGCACGGCTTGGGCCATCCAAGTACTCTACTAGAGAGACCAGAAGCTCATATGGAAGAGCCAATATCATTGGCATTTCATTAATCATTGTGTTTGTGTATATGACCAAACACAATGTTAAAGGTCGAATATGAGGCTCAACCGACTGAGTCAACAAAACACGTTGCTTTACGCTCTAACAACTTGGCGCTCCACTTAGCGAAAGTCAAATACGAGCACACTAACCACAAATAAAGAAGTAGATGATTTAGCCGACATTCCTATATGCACTTATATAGCCAGATAATGCCTACTGTATGAACCTTGCCACGGGAAACTGGGTTTCTCTGGTGCTCCCAGAATGTTTGCCGGAGCGATTGCCCCTGATTGCCTATACCTTTGAGATGGCATTTGTCGTGGATGGTATGTAGTTATGCCGGATTTGAGACAGTATTGGCTAATTGCTCGCCAGAAATTGTGGACAAGGGGACAGATGTGGAAGAGGTAATCATGCAGTACCCATTCTGGCACCAGGAGAGATTTTAACGGACAGATATAACAGGTTCCTAAGGAGAGATTTCATTATCAAGTCAATTGAACCAAATGGCGACACTGTACCTTCCAAAGTGCTTATGGACCGAGAGGGCATTGTCTCCAAAATGACGGCACAATTTTTGGAGATTGATTCTGTGCAAGGAAAGGTGATCGTCGATTCTTGGACAGCGTTCGCAATGTCACGGAGCGACACCCACAATCTAAACTTTCAAAATATTGCAGAGTACATGGTATTCCGAAATGCGGAGAATGGATGGGAGTAAGTGGCCTCAGGGATATGAGTTCGCAGAGACTCGCTAACTAGCCTAGATTGACTACACTACTTGCTCGCTTTGCTTATAACATTGTTTTGACTGAGGCTGAATTGAAGTCCATTGAGACAGTTCAGGCTCCAATTCTAACTGCCGTGACATTGACGAATGATTACTTCTCGTGGGACAAAGAGTACCAGCTGCATATTCAAAGCGGACAGTCAACGCCCTTGCTGAATGCAGTCTATTTCATCAAATGCTGGGAACGCATACCAGATGCAAATGCCAAGGTCAAACTGAGAAATATCATTTGTGGCCTAGAAAAAGGGTACAGTTCCCTCAAATCGGGGTATTTGCCGAAGAATCCGACGGCATCACAGAATATTCTGAAATGGGTCGGTTGCTTGGAGGCATTTGCCGCTGGAAATATGATAAAATCTACAAAAGATGACTCCATCACCTTCATATTGGACAAGGATACGATCTTCCCTGGACTTATCATGGCACAGTCCCGTCCGAAGAAGAATATATACAAACGATCGATAGAAGTAAGTTCCTTGTTCTTCATAGTGCAATTCCAGGCTTATTGATTACCTGGAACAGAAACTGGAGGCCTCTTCCGGATCGCCACTAGAACCATGAAGCTCCACAGTACTGAAAATAGGTGAGAATCCCGGAGCTGAATGGCTTATTTGACATATTTTTTAACGAAATTGAAGCAAGCTTGACCTGAGCGAGCTTGTCGCACTCATCGGCCGTTACTTCCAAATCAGAGATGATTATCAAAATTTGAATGCAACTGAGGTATGTTGTTCCGAATTTTGGAAGAACGATCAAGCCCTAACTGATCCGAAAATAGTACTTTGAGACTAAAGGATTCTGCGAGGATCTTGACGAAGGGAAAATGTCGTTCCCTTTGATCCGTGCTATGTCCTCGGACGGTGGACTCCTCAAGTCTCTTCTGGAATCTAGAAAGCAGAAGAAATTCATGAGCCCCGAAGAGAAAACGCTGGTGGTGAAGCAGCTGGAGGCGAACGGAAGCTTGGCGTATACCCTTGAGACAATCAAAAGCCTACAGCAAGCTCTGTGGACATGCCTTCACGACTTTGAAGTGCAGACCCAGACTCCTAATTGGCTTCTGCGGATTCTTTTGTACAAGCTTGCCGTCTAAACTGGCGTTCATATATAGAGAGACAAGCATAGTTTGTTTGACAGGAATGAAAGAGTGGAAAACAAATCATTAGAATATGCGATAACTTCGTATTCTTTTAGATCCTATGTACAATCTAATCTATAGCGTATTGAGAATGGCCGTCTTCAAGAAAACCAAATAGAAATATCAACATCTCAGGCGCTACTCCGCTCGCCGGATCCGAATACCGCCATGCCACCCAATCCATCCTTTCTCAGCCGGCCCGCGAAGAAGACAAATAAACAGAGCCGCCCCGATGAATGCCAAACTGACACTTCCAGTCAGAATCCAACCCCCTTCACTATAGATGCGATTCCCAACGGAAGTACCCATCAACTGACCACAAAATACACCCATCATATACCCAGTATTAATCCTGTTGCGAGCCTTCGGCGCAACGCTATAGATAGCTGTACGATTAGCCACCTGCGTCATCTGCAGACCAAAGTCCTGTAGTGCAGCTTGGATAATCGGACCGGCGACACTATAGGTTCCAGTATAGGTACCGACGCTGACACCAATGATGAGGATGCTCAAACTGACGAGAATGGATAGCTGCGGCACAAATTTGTCGATCATATAGCGCGAATAGAACGGACCCAGGAACATTGGTGTCAACCCTGCTAGGGAGAACAGTCCTATCGTCAAGGTTGGATAGTTGTATGGATCTCCTGATAGGAGGAAGGTGAGGGTTGTCCAGAAACTGGTGAATGTGGCGGAGAGAAAGAATCCCATTAGTGTTGCTTGTACTAGCACTGGGGATGTCCAGTAATAGCCGATGATCGAATATAGGATTTTGAAGTAGGAGATGTTGGTGTTGGTGCTCGGGTAGTCTGGCATGAACATCCAGAGTAGGGCGAAGATGAGGAATTGGAGGGCTAGTGATAGCCAATAGATGTTTCGCCAGTAGGAGTATTCTGCTACTATGCCTGAGAGAAGGCGGGCGAAGAGAAGCCCTAGAACGAGCCCGGAAGAAACGATAGATAGGGCTGTTGCGCGGCGAGCTGGGGGTACGAGATCACCAACGAGGGGAAGCATGATTTGCTATACGAAGTCAGTTCTGAGGTCAAAGATATATCCGAAATTTCCACTTACTGGAGTTACAGTAGTCACAGAACTTAAATAGCTCAGAACAAGAAATATCTCAAATGATTTCGTGATACAAAGTCCAATCCACAAGGCCGCGGTGATAAACGTCAACAGTAAGACAAAATGCCTTCTTCTAACCAAGTCTCCTAAAGGACAGAGTAGAATTAAACCTGTTGCGTACCCAGCTTGACTGCAGGTCGGAATCAATGAGACTCGCTCATAGGTGACGCCAAAGAACTGGGCAAGCACATCAAGAATAGGGTGCGAATAATACAGATTGGCGACCTAGAGTATGAAGATTAGTATTGAAGATTTGGATCTTTTATTTCTTGCGCTTTCCATACTGTGAAAGTCCCGGAGAATGCGAACAGGATATTTAAAGGCAAGCCGAACTTGAACGGATTCTCCGGATCCCATCGACATCGCGGCGGTGTCCAGAATATTACATCCATAAGACCAGTCCAATACCGGCGTTTTGTTGTCGTTTCCTCTGCATTTTGGACATTGTATTCGTGGCTCTTTTCATCTTGTTCATGCGACTGCGGCGTAGGTGCATTAGAATGTGCCAAGGTGATCGGACTATCCCCGCTGGTTGGTTCTGCAGAAGCTTTAAGTTGAGAGTCGGATTGATTTTCCACTCTGTGGCTGTTTGTAACAGTCATTGACCTGCGGAATATTCCAAGGTTTTCTTGTTGTCTGCTCTGTCGCCCTCTCAATTGCTAGGGTTTAGACAGACACGGGGGAGATTGAGAGACTTGGAGGGGGGAACAAGGGCAAGATAAGAGAAGCAAGAAACCCTCCGAATCAATTAGAGCTGCACATCAGACGCATATAAGCCCGTAATGTTCCGCGGAAAAAAATCCGACGTGCTGATCGGTCATTCCCCGAGTTGCCATCCCCGATTTCCGCACTCGGCCTCGGCCCCACACATCCCCTGTCAATGATGGCATCAACTATACTACAACGCACTTCTAGCTTTCTTGAATGTTTATGGAGCTCATTTTCGTTTGAGGTTCAAGCAATATCATACATCGTACAGAACTACCTAGATAATTGGAGGAAATTGGCCCCTTGCAAGATCGCAAAATAACCACTTTTGAAACATGAATCAGATAACAAGCCACTGTTCGGTGACAGCCCTTCCTGTCTTTGCATCGCCACTGAGAACATGGATGCACTGCAGCGCGTAGGCAGCCTCGCGTGTGAAGTCTTCCACGAAAGGCGGGTTCGCGAGTAAAGTCTCATGTTGGTCGGTATCGCCCATGACTACATCGCCGCTATTGTCTGAGGCATTCTCTGCCAGGTTACCCTGGGCCTCTTGTTGGATCTGCTCGCCCAATTTCAGCACTTTGTTGTATCCCTCGACCGCCAGATGGGCTAGACCGAGAGAGTGCCATACGCGAGCGAAATTGAATTCCATCTCCTGCTTTTCTGCCAGGAGACTACCGGGCTTCTCTCGGACACGTCGGTATTCGTGCATGAAAGATAGCCCTTGCATGATGAGGTAGTGCCGGTTTTCTGCTTGTCGTTTGAGGGAGTGGTGGATGAAAGAGAGGCCGATGGATAAGAGAACAGCCGGGTTTTGGTCGTCGAGTGCATATGCTCGGAAGAAATAGTTCAAGGCTGGGTAGAAGCTGTTTCCGGAGTACAGAATATGGCCATAGAGTACTAGAAGGGCGATGTCTAGGTCCATAGCAGGAATTGGGTCACCAGCTTCGTCGCGCGTAGATAGAGTGGCGCGCTCTTTCCAGATGGACTGTCGGGTAGGTCTGGGGATATCACTAGGCAGAGTAAAGTCCATCGCTTTGATTTGGCGAAGCATGAACTTCATGTTTGGCGAGGAATGGAAAAGAGATCGGTGAGGGTCGCCAGAAAGGTGGCTCAGCATGGAGAAAAGGCGATAAGTGTCTGTAACGAACTGGTATTCCTTGATGAACCAGCGTGCTTCATTCGCTAGCGTATCTTCATCTCCCACACGAAGTGCACAAGCTATAAAGGCGTAAGTTGAGAATCACATGTTAGAAGGCGAAGAGACTCACTGAACCAGCACACATGGATTAGTCGAGATTTGGGCTTGGAGTGCAACCAGATGCTTGCAAGTGCTGCTGAATCAAGCGCCTCATAAGACTCCTCTGGCTCGCCCTGTTCTGCCGTGAGCAGAGCGTACTGAAGGAAGATATCGAGCCATTCATCAAATGGTATTCCGTGATAGTCGGTTGGAATTGCACCCTGGAGGGGTTCATGTGTCCCCTCGCCTAGAAAGCCTATTAGCCTGCGATCTCCAAATTGACTTGATCGACTTACCCAGACTCTCATGAAGACGACCTGCCATTTCGTGCATCTCATCCATCCATGTCCGGTCTTTAGACTTTGCGCCCTTACGCTGCTGTGGACGAGAATATCCCATAAAAGCGATGCTGCGGATCTCTGGATAGAAAGCCCTGTTGGAGCGGAAGTCTCGCAACAGAGCATCAGCAATATCAAGCCAATCCTCAATGGCGTCCGATGCACCCTCTTTGACGTGAGGCTGCAAATCTAGCAATTTCTCGTACAGGAACTGGATATCGTCGGTTCGAGTACCTTCACCTCTTCTGCCTTGGGCGGAGGGGGTAGCGTTCATAAGTGGTACCGTTGGTTTGGCCGTTGGTTTGGGTGCGAGTGGCCGGAGGGCTGCTGTTTCAGCCAGCTTGAATTCGATGGCAAGCTGCTCAAGCCTGGTATCCTTTCTTTTCCGCTTGGATCTGTTCTCCTGTCTGCCGATCAAGACTGCCTCGTTGACGTATTTCAAGGCCTGCTCGCTCATTTGCAGGCTCTCGTATAGTTTCGCTAAAGCAACTCGCGACTCCATGTGCTTCGGATCGTGCTCAGCGACAAGGAGATAGCAGCTTTCGGCATCTTCCACTTTGCCAAGTTGCAAACAACATTCGCCCATGGCCATGAAAAAGCTGATGTCTGCATGATCTGCAGTCTGCTGAATGGGGGTATAGTATCGCAGGGCTTCTTCTAGCAGACCGGCTTTTTTCAGTGCATCCGCCGCTTCCCTAAAAAGATCACCATAGTCAAAGATCCGAGCCCCTTCGGAGTCGTCTTCCGGATTGAGCCATTCGAAGTGATGCTAATTCCGTTGGTCAGCGCTTTGATCCTCCACTATCTGTATACAATCAAACTTACTAATGCTTCAGCCTGGTTCTTGTCACCCATCTTTAGGCGGAAGACACCCAATTTGACTCGAAGCTCCAGGGGAAGCCCGAGTCCATAACATTCTCGGGGCCATTGTCCAGGTACGTAACCGTCTTTTTTGATGCGTCGAGGTGAATCATCGGCGTCCCATTCGCGGTCATCGTCGTCGAAATCTTCCCATATAGTATCATCAACCCGTCCTAGGAGCCACCGAGCGAGCATTTTCAAAGAGCTCAGTCCTTCCGCAGGCTGCTCAAGGTAGCCAAAAAGCTCAACGTAAATGTTAACATCGGACCAGGAGAAATCGCACTCTTCAGGATCAAGAGTCAAGTAGTGATCAATGCTATCTGCATAATGGTCCACTGCTTTCTGGATCTCATCTGAGTCAATGTATGTCTCTGCAAGATGGCGGAGGGCCTTGACGCTATGTGGCCGTTCCTTGAGTAACCTTTCATACTCTGCTGCAGCTCGGCCGTTGTGACCTAACTCACGATAGATCGCTGCTCTTTGGAACCGGATGTTGTAGTTCTCAGGGCTGACTTCAAGGATGCGACTGTAACAGTAAATCACATCATTCAAAGCGGATTTTCGATTATCTCCGACACGGTCTAAGATGAGCTTAGCAACTTTGACCCAAACGCCGGGGTCCTTCGGCCTGGTATGAGCTCCGTTGAAAAGAGCTGCCAAAGCTTTGTCGTTTTCTCCTTGTGCAAGGAAGATTTCAGAGAGCAAGGAATGCGCAGCAAACATCTCAGGGTTGGCTTGGATGGCCTGCATGACCTGTTCAATGGCATAATCGTAGTTGCCATCAATGAAGGCAGATGTGGCCTCTGAATGGAAGTGTTTGAACTCTGGACCGGGTTCGATCGGTTTACGCGGTCCTCTCTTGATGCCCTTTCCACCGCGAGCACCATATCTCCCGGAAAAGCGCCCACCTCCTCGGCGTCGGCGTCTCCTGGCAACAGAATCATCATCGTCTTCATCTCCTGCTGCTTCGTCGTCATCATCGCCGCTATAATAGTCTTAGCTTTACCCAGATAGAAAGTTTTGATCAACATACCTGTCGGTTTCTTCTTCGCCGGATATGACGAAGTCGTTGTCTGACCCAGCCTCATCAAGTTGTCCTGGGACATATGGTACAGGGGGATATTGCTGATCGTACTCGCCCGAGGAGAACTCTTCTTCTATCTCATCTTCAGCTTCTGCTGGGCGTTGATTGATGCTTTCTGGAGGCCGTGGAGGCTGTGCCTGATCTCCAAAAAGACGAGGATCAAGCACCGAGGAAAGCGCATTCCCATCATCAATAGATTGGCCATGCTGCCATGGATACTGAACAGTTTCATCGATGTCTGGATATTCCGAGTCCTCTTTCTGGGGAGAGCTCATGTCCGGGTAATAATTATCCGCCATGGCCAGAAATTGTCTGACCACCCTGTAAGGGATAGTGTCAGACTAGACAGCTGCGTGAGATCAACGTGGATATCAAGCCAGTATAGAGCGCACTGGGACGTTTCAGGCCTGGTCTTGGCAGATATTCATAGTAACATCTCCACCAGGCCCTAGATATCTAGAGAAGAATAGACTAAATTAGATGAAATAGCGCAGAAAGTAGAAAAGCGCAAATCGCAGAGCTCGCGTCGAAGAATGTTGAGGTCGGAACCCGTGATCGCGGCCTGAAACAGAAAAGCCTCTGCACCAAAGTTCACTTCCTCTCTTCTTCTTCTTCTCCTCTCCTCTCCACCCTTTTTTTCTTTCCTTTCCTTTCGGGACTGTGGCTTGCTGTGTTTGACACACTATTGCTTCACGTCTCTTTCTTTCGTTTCAGGCCTTAATTTCTCTCTCACTTTCTTCACACTTTTCGAGGTGCAGCCCACTGGACTGGTCTGTGCCCGATCGTTGTCGAAGTCGAGATTTGGGTCTTTTCAAGCCTGATACTCTAGAAGTCCTGGTTTTGCGGATTTCTGATTCTTTTCGTTACGCAAACTCAGCAGGCGCTGCAGGTGTTTTGCAGTAATTTCCCCTGTATTTACTATTCGCAACACGTTGCAAACCATGGCCAGTCATATCATCGGCAATCGCAATAGCACCCCCGACGCTTCGAATTCCACCCTTCGTCCTCCGTCATCATCTCGAAACCTCGGATCGCACCAGCTGCGGGCGTCGGCAGATATGTCCGGGTTTCCTTCGCCGTTGTCCGCCCGAAGCATCCGTCCATCATCGGAAGTCTTCTTCAGTCAACAATCCCAGGCCCAGAACACGTCTGAAGATGCGATGGACCGTGCGGCTCAGCAGTGGCTCTCTGACATTGATCAATATGAGACTACATTGGAGGAGATGGCGGCTGCTACGCTTGACCAGGATTTCAAGGATGAACTGAGTGCTATTGAACAATGGTTCCGTGTGCTGAGCGAGGCCGAGAGAACTGCGGCTCTGTATGCTTTGCTGCAGCAGACCACTCAGGTGCAGATCCGCTTCTTTATCCAAGTCCTGCAGCAAATGTCTCAGAGCCACCCGATGTCTGGCCTGTTGTCTCCCGCCAACTTCGGTGAAAAGGGTATGGTCCTATCTGCACATCGTTCTTGTGGCTCTCACTGACCTCCTATCTCATAGATGCCATGTCTAGCCGCTTGAGCGATGCTATGTCGAAGCTTAATATGGATACCTCCCGTAACTCTCTCGGACGCCCCCCTCCATCCCCTGGCGCCAAGCGGAACTCTGGTCTTGACTCCTCCACCATCAATGCGATGTTCCCAGATGCTGCCGCTGCCATTGCGAAGAAGAAGGCCGAGTTCACTCAGCAAACGGGCAACGCGCCTCCTTCGAACCGCAACAGCGCCGTCTTCGACCGTGCCTCATTTGTTGCCCCTACCATATCTGCGCCTGACAACAGCTCGGACAGTCTGGGTCAACCGCCGGCGTCTCCTTGGGCCCAGCGTGGTCTTTCAGACACCCAGCCCCCGATTGCCCGGCCCAAGTCTTCCTCCGGACATCAGCCTATGGGCCAGTTCAGCCAGCCCTCGGGCATGCGCTCGCCTCTTCCGCAAACCGCTAATATCCCTGCTCCTGACATCGAGCCACCTCTTCTGTCTCCCTACAACGTTGGCAACCACAGCTGGGCATCAATGACCAACACTCCGATGACTGCTACTTTCGGCCAGCAGCAGCACCAAAACCCCAACACGCATGCGGACATGGTTGCAAATGCCACGGCAATGAAGTTGGCAGCTTTGTCGACGGTGAACAACCGCATTGCTCTGGACGATGCTCGCAAGTACCGCCGCGCTCGCTCCAACGATGGCCAGGGCAAGAACTCCCACGGCAACCCGACCTTTTCCCAGGGCTTGGCTAGCTCAGGCCTTGGTGGACAACATTTGGTGGCCGGTCAGCTCCTTAATGCTCAGCAGCTGGCAGCTTTGCAGGCTCAGCAACAGGCTGCCATGGCAGGCGGACGGTCTCGCCCGACATCCCCCGGCGTTGCCATGCAAGGTGGTGGTTTGACCCCTATGGGCTTCACCTCCCCCCAAAACAATGGCTTCCTGGCAGCTTATGATCCCAACAACCCTCTCATGGGCAATGGAATGGGCTCGCTTAATATTGGACAGTTCGGCCTGGGTAGTGAAGGCTACCTGTCGGATCACTCGGAGGTTGCCCGAGGCCGCTCTCCGCGTGGTCGTCGTGGCAGCTCCAAGCCCCCAGAAGACCCCACCGATCCTGCCCTTCTGAAGGATATCCCCAGCTGGCTGCGATCCCTCAGGCTCCACAAGTACACCGACAACCTGAAGGATTTGCAATGGACGGAATTGGTTGAGCTTGATGATAAAGCTTTGGAGGACCGCGGTGTCAACGCTCTTGGTGCCCGTAACAAAATGCTCAAGGTGAGCTCCCCGAACTCGACTCCACACTGATCGACGTGCTAACATTCCCCGCCAGGTCTTTGAGCAGGTCAAGGAGGCCCGCACCGACGGCAAGCTCGAAAATCTTGTGTGATTCTTACATTTATTTGCGGCATAATCGAGGGATCTGGAATGTATCAAACGCTGCCATGTGAACGGATTCATGAGATGGGCTCTGGAATTATTGAACATTGCATTCGGGTTAATAGTAGATAAGGACATGAATTATTGGATTTACGTGTAAACCTGTATAATATGTTTTCCTGTCTACCTGTGTCTGTAGGCGGATTTGATCGTGATGCTCAGGTGAAGTTCCACGTGGCCCGTGCACCCATAGAACCCGCGCTGCCACCTCCGACATCTGTCCAGCCGCGGATCTTCCCAAGCTCCTCCATCTCACTCTGTACTAGAGAACCTACACTGCAATTCCCATTAGGTTCGATACACGACGCCCTCGAGGCTTGATAACTGCCTCCGACAACACCGAGCCACCGCTCGACCTCTCAACCCAGAATATCCTCCACCCATCGAAAGGGAACAAAAGACAACACAAACCAAAATGGCACCAACAAAGCAGGAACTCTCCCTGCTAATCCATCCCCTTGTGCCAGAATCAGTCCAACACAACAACCGCGTAAGTAATTTCCCTCATCCCACCCCTATCCCGCACGAGAAGGCCACCGCATCCCCCAACCGTAATGAAACCAAACCACAACCTCTCACCATCCAAACCAAACCACAAACTAACCATATCTCAACCCAATATAGGTCCTCTCAACCCTCCACAGCCTAACCTCCTTCCTTCTAGGTCTCTCAGCAGGAATTCTAGCCCTGCAATCAACATACGGCTTCGCCTTCTACTTCCTCGGCACAATCCTAGTCTCAGGACTCTTCCACCTAGTCCTAATCCACCGCTCGAACGGCGGTGGTGCGGGCTCTTACTTCCCGGGCAGTAATGCCGGCGAGATCGAGGGTGTTGTCGAGATGGATGAGAAGAGCCGGACTGTGAAGATGCAGCTTGCTGGGAAGGCTGGTTCGAGGAAAATTTTGCGCAAGGGTGCTTGGAGGGATGTTTGGTTTGGTGGTGGTGTTATGAGTGAGGCGCTTAGTGGGTTTGTGCTTGGGTGGGCTGGTGTTGGTGGTGTTTTGAGGTGATTGGTTTTTGGGGATATGTGCGAGGATTGGGTGTGGGATTGATAGGATATTGTATATGTGTATTAATTCAATTTGGTTGAATTGCTGAGGCAGTTACTTGACTCTTTTGTTACTTCCAAGCAGATATCCGTGGGGTGGCTTTGGTAACAGTCCTCCAAAGTCATATAGAACATACACACACGAACGACTCTTTTGAAATTGTAGTTCACCATCACTCTACATTCGAGTTCTGGAGTTGCTATCTACCATAAACCAAATCACTCCTCCTTCTCAGCCGGCATTCCCTCCACAATCCTCTCAAACTCAGCCAATGCCTCCGAATCAACCCCATAAGTAAACTCCCTCGAAGGAAAAGCCCTACTCTTGACCTCCCCCCGATAAGCCTCAATCCCCCTCCTCGCCTCACCCCAAACATCGCCATAAGTCTTAACAAACTTAGGCAAAAACCTCCCCTCGGGGAAATTCCCAAGCATATCAACCTGAACAAGAACCTGCCCAGAACATCCATTCCCAGACCCAATCCCAATGGTAGGAACACTCAACCGCCGCGTCACAATCGCCGCAATCTCAGCCGGCACCGCCTCGATTATGATCATAAACGCGCCAGCCTTCTGTACGGCCAGCGCGTCAGTCAGCAGTTTCACGGCGCCTGTGACGGATTTGCCTTGCACGCGGAATCCACCGAGACTGTGTTGTCGTTGCGGGGTTAAGCCTATGTGTGCCATTACTGGGATGCCCGCGGATGTAATCTTTTGGATTGTTGGTGCCATTTCTGCGCCGCCTTCTAGTTTTATGCCTTGCATGCCGCCTTCTTTCACCATGCGGATTGCGGATGTCAGGGCCTTTTCGGGGTTGGTTTCGTAGGAGCCCATTGGGAGGTCGGCGATCTGGGTGGGTTGTTAGTGCGTTGTTGGATGGGGTGTTGATTGTATACTTGGACTGGGGGTTGGGATTGCTAATGGGATTGGGATTGGTACTTACTGTGAAGGCACTCTTAACAGCTCGATTTACACTGCGGCAGTGTAGAAGCATCTCATCCATTGTGACTTCATTTGTATCTTCCATACCCATAGCAACCATCGCAAGACTATCGCCAACAAGGACGATTTCCATACCGGCTGTGTCGGCGACATGGCCGCTGGGAAAGTCGGATGCTGTGAGGACTGTGATGGGTTCGTTCTTTTTGTAGAGGTTGCGCAGGGTTTGGATGGTTACTTTCTTGCGTGTGGTTGTCGTTGATCCCATTGGGGAGTGGGAGCTATATTGGGCACGACATGTTCGAGCTGGGGAGATGCATGAAGTGATCGTGCCGAAGTGTAGTGCGGGGCGCCGCAGATAGCTTAGTTTTAGAGACATAGTGGATTTGGAATGGTTCTGGGACTTTTTGTTTAGAAGCTGAAGTCTTTAAATACCGAGTGTGGTTGGGTGTTCTGGTAGATGCGGCGTATTTCGCATCTCGGGAAGGGGTCTGAACCGAGGTCCTTTCTATCGGCTTTGTATACCTCGTCTCTTCTTTTGTTTAATACTCCATTGTATATTGTTCTTTGCTTTATACATGTTATCGTGAACTAAACTTATATGCCGTTTAGCTATACAAACGCTTGAGCTATTGGTCATTGTCGGATAAATACTCCACTGTCAACAAGACCCATTGGGCCAGCCAACTCTCATAGCTGTGTCTGTTTTTATCTAGCTATACTTTGGCCATAAGCAGCAAAAAAGATACATTCAATGGGTTGAGCGGCTGCACTTGGAAGATGTGGAGAAGATGGAGGTAGGGCGTGTAGACGATGCCATAACCCTTGTTCTATTCCAAACTGCTGCGTTCCTCGTATATCTTGAATCGGACTTTTACCCTTTTTGTGGTCAACGTACTCTAGCAAGCTCCGACAGTAATGCCTAGCAATCTTGGCACCATTGTTCTGGACGACATCGCGCAAGGTACCAATGTACAGATCATAATAACTGTTAGCTTATGCGCGACGGTACTTGTTGTGAAAGATATCCTTTTAGTGGGAGAGAGATTCGTGCCCGATCGCTTTTCCGTTCTCATAGACATAGAAGCTTGTTCGTCTCGGAAGATTTCCTAATAACTTTCCTGATATGTATCTTCAAATTTGCGGCCGGGGATGACGTCATGAATGACCTGTATTGGCATCACGATCGAGGAATCGCAGAAAGCGGATTCTTCAAGAAAGAATCGGTACCCCAGGCGGACACGAAGGCTGATTAGGGTTTCCTATAATGTCATTGCAAGTAAACATTCGACTCTACAATTGCACAATTAATTCAAAATAAGATAAGAATGGTCAAAGATTGATCTCTAAATTCAAAATATCAAAGGGTATCCCTAGGAACCAATCCACCAAAGGCCGAATCATTCCAATTCCAGTCCTTTTCTTCCAATAAACCAACCCACGCAAACCAAGGAATAGCGCCGAAAGAATATACACACCAGGATGCCCATATTTCCAGGAATGCATCCGATCAATATAGACAGTGGTAAGTGATAAGAACAAAAACAGGTACAAGAGACAGCAAATGTCAATTGTTAAATGTGAAAAGGTGTGAAAATGATTAACAAGTCATAATCGGGATAGCAGATCAGATCAAATCAGACTCCAAACCTCCAAACCAGGGAGGATACCATAATCGACGCAGAGGAGCAAGACGACATGCAATGCAAATCGAGATGAAATGAGTATGTGAAAGAGAAAAGAGCAGAGCAAAAATAAATCAATCAAAGTGCGGGACCTCATCGGACGAGTTGGCGACTGCACTCTGCAATGCGCTCGTCAGGTCGATGTGGAAGAAAGGTCTGTTCATGCCCTGCACGAGTGCAACCTTGCGACGACTGCGGTAAGCCTTGCTGTCCGTGATATCGCGCTGGAATTTGTCTTCGGCGATGACATTCGAGTCCTCGGAGGAAGTTTCGACGCCGTGGGTCTCGCGCTCGGTTGCGGCGGACTCCGACTTGAGGCCTGACTCCACGTCTTCGCTCCTGTGGTAGGCTTGCTCGCGCTGGTTGTTGATGATCTCTGCGTGGGCCGCGGCCGAGGCACTGCCTTCGATCTCGGCGACACTGAAGATGGGCTTCCACCGGCGGAAACCTTCATTAGAGACGGGAGTTGGGTAGCCGAAGCCTGCGGCGGCGAGACCGCGCTTGGTCCAGCGGTTGTTGATGTGAGCGAAATGCCATTGAACGGAGCGGGGGGAGGCGTAGAGGTCGAGTTGGTTGCGGACGTCAATCAGGTTCTGGATGGAGGTAACGTCGACGTTGTTCACAGATGAGAAGTCGAGAATGACGGCTTGCAGCAGGGGGAGGTGGGAGTCGTCGTCGCTACCCTCCTTGCCGCGGCGAGGACCGGAGTCATTCCAGGGACGGTCGCCGCGGTTGCGGTAGGCGTGCGGGTTGGTTCGGCGAGTGTTTTTGAAGATGGTTTGTACGAGGAAGTCGGTGTAGTGGTTTGCGTTGGGGTAGTTGAAGCCCTCCGAAAAGCGGTAGATGAAGATACCAGGAAGAGGCTGCTCCACCTGAATGTCCGGGTTGGAACCATCGCCGTGGTTGATGGGAAGGAAGATGGTGCGGTGGTGGTGCTCCTCGTCATTGGAGGGAGACTTGTCGTTTCCGAAAGATCCATATTTACCATCGGTATCCAACAGATGATCGCCGACCACAGAGTGGATGGTGACACGGCCCAAGAATTGACCACGAGCCTTGGCCACGCGGAAGAGCAGAACTGCAATCGAGACACAAATGGTGCAGTAAATGCCGTTTTCAATAGAAGTGAATACGGTGACAAAGACACCGATGAAGAAGATGAGTGCATCGAGCGGGGACACACGCCAGAACTGGTACACGGTGTTAGGCGGAGTGATCAAATCACCGACCGCGTGGATGATAACACCTGCCAGAGACGCCTTGGGGATATAAAAGAAAAGAGCTGGTAGAGCGTAAATAGCCAACAGCACAACGACCGCAGTAATACAACCAGCCAGGGGTGTGCGAACACCGGCCTTAGACTTGATGGCAGTACGGGAGAAGGAACCAGTGGCAGGGTAAGCACCAAGGAAAGGTCCAAGCAGGTTGCTCACGCCAATGGCCACGAACTCCTGGGAGGGGTCGATGGTGTAGTTGTTAACGCGGCCGAAAGACTTGGAGATAGCGATATGTTCAATAAGAAGGACAATCACCGCAGCTGGAAGCTGATTGGCATATGCTGCAATGATCTTACGGTCCATGACGGGAACAGCGGCCTGCTGGAAACCGCGGGGAACTGTGCCGAGGAGACTGAACAGAGGGTGGTTCTTGCGGTGCAAGTTCACGGCGGCACTGATCATGGTGTAAAACAGGATCACAAACACGGTCCGGAGTGTCGAGATGAAGAACCAAACCTTGGCCTTCTGAGGCTGTTTCTTCGCGGCATATGTGCATCCTGACCGGATGAGGTAAAGCATCGCACAAGCAGTAACACCCATAGCAGCATCAAGTGTGGAAGACGGAAGGTGCTTGAGGGTGTTGATAATGACCATGTAGGTAGCACCGCGGGTACTGAATTTAGCAGTCTCGCCCAGCATGGTGGAAACCTGGCCCGCACAAATGTTTATAGCGGAACCTGTCATGAAGGCGGAGATAGCAGGGAGAGGGATGAAATCCACGATGAAACCAACGCGGAAAAGACCCAACACAAAGACAATGCCACCACAAATGACCGCGAGAGAAGAAGCAATCAAATGGGCAGGGTAATCGGGGTATATCTTCTGGACATCAAGCACAATTGTTCCAGTCAAGGTCGACATAACGGCCACGGGCTAGTAAAGTCAGTACATTTGCCTCAGTCCAATCGGTCGCAGGATCACTCACTCCGATAGTAATATCCTTGGATGTGGCAAAGAACCAATAAATCAAGACTCCCATAAAGGACGAGTACAAACCAAACTGCACTGGCAGTTCAGCGAGCTTGGCATAGGCCATACCCTGCGGCACGACGACAGCACCGACGGTAATACCGGCAATCAAGTCACCGATCAGCCATTGGAGGTTGTAGTTGGCGATCCAGTTAAGGAAAGGGAACAGACTGATCAAATATTGAACGAATTGGCGTCCGGTTGGGGTGATCTCGCGAATCCAATCGAGACTGGTCGGTTCGGGTTCATTGTAGGAATACGTGTCGACGGTACCCATAGAAAAGGTTGATTCACCTCTTGTGACGGGCTCGGAACCAGATGTAGCACCCAGAGGGTCTCTGTAGGAGAGTTTGATACCGAGGCCTTTGGCCAGGGTATGACCCAGCTTGGACATAGTCTCACCGCTCATGGTTTCTTGAACAAACCGGGATTGAAATATAGCCGGGGTTGGACGAAGCTGCCACGAGGACCACGTGTAAAACGGAGACTTCGGAAAAACTGAGCTCCCCAAAAACTGGCGATGATCAGGGATATAAAAAGAATGTCAAACCAGAAGATCAGACAAGCATGTCGAGACAAAAAGGTATAGGGGCCGTTGATGCGTGATTCGGAAGCAAATGGCGCAATATCAAATCTCCAAATTCAATTTAAGATTTGAAATTTTCCCACGCTTAGCTCGCTTGGCTGAACAGGGATGAACACGAGAAGAAGATGAGGGTTTGAAGAAGAAGCAAAAATGGCACTTCAAAGCGAAGCCCCGTCCGAAGAACAATTTCACACGGCTCCCGTCCGATGATCGCAAGCCGATCAAGTGTGAGCACCCACAGGTCCCACTCCGCCGGTCTGGAAGGATGACGAGTGATGGAGCACAGCTTCCGCCCAGCGGGGTCCCATGGAGGCGGACACTTGGCTTTATTCAATCGGAACAATCATTCTGTAACCACTTCATAAGCCAGTTCTAATGCCATGGAAATATGTTGCACAGAGCAAGCCCGTTGTCCCCATGACTTTACCTCACAGATTGAAGTTCATAGATGGCTTCCTTCCAGAACACGTGCCACTGCCAAGCAACCGCATGACGAATGAAAGTGCGCCTCCACACCATTTGCCCCGAGATGATCAGCCAGTGGGGCCATACAGCCAATCACAGGTCATATAGAACACGCAATCTCAACGTGCGATGGTGAAAGTTGTGAGGAATCTGGTTCCACGTTGAAAGTTTCAAGAATCTTCGTGTCTTTCCTGCCTGCTTTGACCGCCTTCACTTACCAAGATTATACTTCCATGACATTCTAATTTTACATCAGATAACTTAAACAAACGGAGTAACTTACAACTCTACAACTCTTACTTACGTACTCGTATACGCTTCTTGGTTTAGATCCCCACATTCGCTACCGCGTGGTCCAAACCCCCTAGCTCACTCATTAAACTCATAAGACGCATCCGCTTGGCAGGGGCCCGTGTGGGCTCGGCGCTCCCTACTCTATCTGTTAGGTGCATAGAACACCCTCTAACGATATTCTAGCCCATCACTCCGAGTGATCGGCCAACTACTCGGAGCCCCGGTCGTCCCAGTGGTGTCAGACCCTGGTGAGTCTGAAGTTTAGGATGACACACTAGGCGTCGCGAAGAATGTACGTTTCCGTTCGAGGCAATTACCACCTATCTCGCTAGCTGGGAAAGAGAAAAGGCAAAAGGCAAATAAGCAATATCCCTTAACTCCGAGGTCCAACCTGATATGGCGCTAAAATATGCATGATTCTCTCCCAAGACTTTAAGCTTGATGACGCCATCTAGATCTTGATTGCGTCTTTTCGGTGTCCGTGTCTGTTTTTCTTGGCTGTCAACGTATGCGCTACGGCCCTTAACTTTATACCACGCTATTTGTTTCCTTAACTATAGAGTATCCCTGCTTACCTTCTGTATTGGTAATAGCTACTCTCAGGTGCAATCCTCGACTTAGGTCATATATCACGCAACACTATTGCCTCCCATATACCCTGCACGGAGTAGACCTAGATCACAACCACAGAAAAAGGAATCCGACAAACCTCACAAATCACACACCCAAGAAGAGTTCGTGGCGTCGCGCCATGCAGCACCTGACTCTCTCCAATCTGGATCTGCAGACGCCTTCGGTCGTACATGTCCAAACGTGCTAACTTAGCTTAACGCGCCATGCAACATAAACGTTCCCTCGGAGATGCATGTTCATGCTCACCTGGCCACGTTCCTGGGTCTGGGTCTGTTTCAACCTCGCCGGCTGCTGGAATACGAGTCCTTGTCATCTGTGCCAGCGGGATGGTCAAGCTTGATTAATCTTATTAGTTGGAGCACGCCCTTTTGGCGTTTCTTTTCTTTTTTTTACCTCGCTACACCGCTGCCGCTAAATGTATGATATTGTTGGTGTTTGGTTATTGTCCTCGCTAGGATATACCCCTTTTCTACTCCCGTCCTCCATATACGACATTCAGTATGGTGATGGCGTTAGCCTTGGTGGTCTCGATGCCTGAGCACGCCATATAATCGCTTCGCTTTGCTGTGTTTGGATCTTGTCTCGGCGTGGCTGATGTCAAGCTGCGGCTTTTTGGGTGCTTGGGGTCCGGGCCCGGGGATGTATAGTATGGGTGCATATGCAGGGTTACCTGAACGGCTTGTTTGGTTTGGGTTACCCGAGCGGTTGGTTCTACCGGGGTCTCTGGCTAAGCTTGCTTGGATCTTCGTTGGAGGGTGTGGTTCGGTACTTCGTACACTGCTTTGGCGGGAGATCATAAACATGGTGGAATTTGCATCATGTGACAAAAAGTGACAGGGGTTTTACTTCTGATCAATTGAAGGTCCTACACTTAAAAACTAAGTGGAAAGGTAGATTGAAGTTCGAGAGTCATATCTGCTTACATGCTTCGCTCTCCCCTCAGGCAAGAACGAATCTAGCTCGGTCTGAAGTTCCTTGTATAGCGCCTGGTCCTTGACAAGATAGAACAACATGTTGTCCAATGTAGATTACATTTGCAACCTGAAGTCGTTGATGCCATGCTTCTCTCAGGTTGCTTACTTAGGAGATATTCTGATCTAGCCCTTACTGTAACGTCTTTGGTTAAGTACTTGAACCCTCTCATTTACATCACAAAGCAACATCCTCTTATAATTTGAGACCGGAATGATCCCGGTCAATGTTAGATAAAAAGTTTCTGAGCAATGTTTCCATTTCTCTCTATCAAGTATGTACGTTCTGCTCTGTTATGAGATCATGAGGCATCGCTGACGATATATGTGGACGTTCCATGTTCAAGGTTCTGATTCCGGGAGAACCCTGCCAATGAGGCTTCTTATTACAGGCACAGCTTGGCCTGGAGACCATCCAATAACTCGTACGGCATGGGTTCTCAGTTCATTGTACAAAGGTAGCGTCTATTTTTACAGTATGTGACACGAGAAACTTCACCATATTCAACATGCGAGGTATCTAGACTGCTAAGATTTGGATTGTGCACCTGAGGCCTGGGTGTCAAAAGTATGGCGTCTGATGCTCTGCTATCTAGTAAAAAGTTGCCACTCAGTGACGAACCACAAATTGACAAATTCACAGTCTTCCAAATTGATCAAACAACTGCATAGATACCTGTGATCACCGCATCGCTGCGGTCCAACGCTCTCTTTACCATTACATAAACCAGAAACTTTGCACTCTGCAAACAAAAGATCCCTCTTCGCAACAGATATCCTTTGAAGCCTCGTGGATTGGCTCAAAACACGTGATATAAAACCACAGGCTATGAATGACTGCCTAAAAACCTAGTCACATGACTACTGTACTTAGTCGGGGTTCCAGTCCGTCGCGCGTGATAATCCTTCTCGTTGACTCGGGGAGACCGAGAAGTTGTCATGTCGCTTCGAAGACCTCATCGGAAATCGCGTAATGGCTGCACCGAATGTAAGAGACGCAGAGTGAAGGTATCCAATCCCTATCCCCTGTCCTCGCGTTGTTCCAGGCTCATTAACCTCTCCCTGCAGTGCAATGAGCAACAACCTTGTCACAATTGTCTCAAGTATCAGAGTGACTGCATCTTTGTGACGGACTTGGGGCAGAAACGACGGAGCCCAGTTCACCCAAAGGCATCAATGTCCAAAGGGGATCAGAGCGCCTCCACTTCAGTGATTGGCGCGGTGGAATCACTTCCAGGGGCCCCTCTATGTGATTTGGCTAGAACTGCAGACTTTGAAGCCAGAGACCTTGAGCTGATGCATCACTTCAGTACATCAGTTGCCAAGACGCTCTCCTATCGCAACGACATCCAGGATATTTGGGCTATCTCACTTCCCAAGGATGCCTATTCATGTGACTACCTCATGCATGGCCTGCTCGCTCTCTCAGCTTTACATTTGAGTTTATTGAGCCGCGAGAAACGGCATGACTACGCAGACTTATCTACATATCATCTGCACAAATCCCTTGCTCGCTTCAGGGAGAAGCTCGCCAACATATCAATAGAGAATTGTGTGCCTTTGTTTGGACTTTCCTCTCTTATGGTTATCCATGTCTGCGCCCAGTCTGCCGTGGAACGCGATTCACAACCAGCCCGGGAACACTCCGCATCCCACATTGAAATGCTGATGAAAATTTTCAATATGTGCCGAGGGGTAGAGTCTATTCTTGCTCCATATCATAGCGAGATTCGTCAAAGCTCCTTAAGCTCCTTACTTCACGAGGATTACCACCTCGTCGGTCATCTATCAAGGTAACGTGCCATCAACACAAGACGTGCGCAATTAAGTATGATCTGAATCCAATAATAACGCATGTCGAAGTCACCTCAATATCAATGAAGCCTTGACCGAAGAACCGCCATTTTTTGACTTGGTGAATCTCGTCACAAGTCAAGAGATTGAACCCCAGGAACGAAACGAGTACCTGGATGCTTTGACAAAGCTGCAGACAGCATTTCGCTTCATGCGTGCTGCTAGCCAACCGTTGGAGCCCGGGGCAGCATTTGTGTGGCCCATTATGCTGCAGCGGGATTCCATTCGCCTCTTCATGCAACTGACGCCTCTTTCATTGGTACTTCTAGCACACTACTGTATAATTCTGCATCATCTCGATGGCTATTGGTTTTTGCATGGTTGGCACAAAGCACTCCTCACCGAAATCACAGATTATTTACCTTCAGCATTCAAGACGTGGGTTGTTTGGCCACGGAATGTATGCGGTTTGGATGATGTGAGTGAGACCTCCAGCATACTGGGCAATTGAAATCCTGGATTGTATAGATTACGTCCAGAGGCATTCTATATAAAAAGCTTTGATCTAGAAACTAAAACTTCTTGCCGTCCAAATGCTGAGACAAGCCTCTTCGATGGCGTGGAATTAACACAGAACCTCAACCCTTCTATCCCCCCTGATCGCACCTCTTCTCAGAATCCTAGACACATTGAATCTTACTCCAGATTTTCACTGCGTCCGCGACAGAGATCTCAAAGCTTCCATGGAACCACGACCACCTTTATGGGTCGGGGACAATATCACAGACGGGTGAAGCACATTCATCGCCACCATCGCAAAGAACATCAATGTGGCATCGAAAACATACATGAAAGCTTCATGGCTAATCAAATAGCCGTCATTCCCTTGTGCGTACTCGATGAGACGGAAAACAGATCGGATCAAAATCAAAATGCTGGCAATGTACAGCCCCCAAAGAACGGACTTCCAGCTGCGAACGATGCACAGACTGTGGTCTTGTCTCGATTCAATTGTTTGCTGGGTCGGCCTTGAGCGGATGCGGACATGGAAAATAACCGAAGTGATCAAGAAAAATGTGAAGAACACCAGTTGTACACAGAGACCACCTATCGTGATATGTTCGCCGGTTTTCATTGCATCGATTGTACCGCTCGCCATGATTCCTCCTCCTGTAAACAATCCGTGTTAGCATGTTGTATTCCGAAACAATGTGTACCGTGCCAGTGTGGGATGTACCTGCTGCCTGCATCACAAATGCTACCACATCACCCGTCACGAAAATACCGGTCATCCATTTCAATGGTACCATGCTGTAACTTTCGGCGCGAAGCTGCAGAATCAATCTTCCGAGAACCATATAGATAGACGCTGCATAGAGCGGCGGCGCCAGAAGGATGAGGATTGTTTGGATTGAATAGATGGGCACACTCTCGGTGTTCGCATGTGACAATGCCCGTGCTATATACCCAATTATCTGGACTATCAGGTCGTTATGGTTAGCATGGTATGCTCAATGCCCATCAGGACACAAGCGGAGTCTAGTTCTGAGAAGTACTCACAGATTCCTCCCAGGACAAATGCAATGAAGTACCAGGAGCGGCTTTTGATAAGCTGCCAAAGATGGAAGACCGTCGTTATGATAAATAAGATGATGAAGATCACAGCGGCGGCGACAGAAGGTGTATATCGGTAGAGCTTGAAATCAATGTGCTGGCCGGAGTCGCCCATGATGGGATGTAGGATCGAGCCACTATGTCAAGAGAATAATCAAGTGAAGATAATTACAAAGAGGTGTTGAGACTTGAAGATGTAGGAATTTAGACTGAAGCTGGGAGTGACTGAGAGGGACTTTAAATAGCCAAATATCTCCAAGACATGGACATTCGCATCCCCTGGATTATTATTAACTATACTCAATGAACTTTGCTCGAGTGGGCCATCCAAAGCGCGAGTGGACGAAATCGGCTGTATAGAATGGGCCATACTCCGCCTATTTGGGTTTAGTGTACGACGGTACGAGAACCAATCAAAACTTGGTGGGGCATGGATTGCCAATCTACATGTACTAGGATGGAAAAGAGGCTATGCAAGTAATCAACTCTTTCCCCCCGGTGTTTTCCAAAGATACAGTTATAATAGATGAATACGGATAGGCCTTCCCGTACCCCAGTATGGTAAACTGGTCTTTTTGCGAATCCAATAAGTCCAACCATTTCAAAGGTCGAAAGACACTTGCTGCTATGGAAACTTCCCTGGCGGTGGTATCTATGCCGGAAGATAGAAACATATACTGACAAGAATATCAACGATATAAAGCATAACCGATATATTCAAACAGAGCAGATAATCTTAGCTATCACAGCTTCCACGTGGCAGGACCTTGCGGGCGACTCCCTGGGCTAGCGAAGAGTTTCTTCCATTGATCGCTACTGGAGGCTTGTTCAGTGGCCGTGGTCCTATCAAACCTGGCGGCAAGGGCTTTCTCTTCCGAATGCCAACGGCTCAATTCAGAGCGCAGCCATGGGGCGACATTTTCCGCGCAGCGCTGAGGGACCTCTAGGGGAATCAAGTGCCCAACCTGGTCCAGCAATATCTCCTTGACACGACCCCTCGCAGCACCTCCACTGCCGCCCACTGCCGTGCCGGTTTTTTTGAGTTTGTCGGCTGTCAAAGCTGGAAACGCGAAGCCAGATTTACTGCCATATATGTACAACACGCTTGGTCTGAGAAACGCAAGTTGCGCAAAGACTCTAGCTGATTCAGGGCGATAAAATTTGTAGGACTTTGGTATTGACTGGTCAAGGTCTGGATGTGTAAGGTGGCTGTCGGAACGGCCTGAATGGTCCCAAACTGGCCTTGCGGTGTTGAACACCTCCTGGTGACGTGTCGTTGTCAATGTAACGGGTATGTCTCCCCTATCGGTCTTGCCGTGTGGCTCGTTATCTAGAGAATAGACTGCTGTCGGGGCGTCGCGTAGACCGTATTCGATCCACTTCTTCAGCACTCTTGGATCCCAGATTTGGAAATAAGGGTTGCGTTGGAAGCTTGCTGCTGCTGCCTTCCGGGAAGGCCACTTGTCACGCCTGAATAAAGAAAGCTTGGTTATTTCAGTGGCCATCTGGCTACCGTCGAGATTCCGGTGATCGTCTAGCTTTGTTCTCTCACGTTGAATGACGGGATCCATGAGAATAAGGCTGTGTAGGAGTCTGGGATGCATGTAGCTTAGGTTTACCCTAGGTCTGTTAGCTGGTAAACAACAATATAATTTTCTAGGCTTACATCGGTATGCCACCCAGACTGTGCCCAATACCAATTATAGGCTGTGGCATCTCAGAGCGCTTAACATTAACAAGATGAAGGAGGTCCCGGGAATGATCAAACCAGCTCGCTTCGTCTGTCAGCTCGATGCAAAAATATCTGAGTATAGGACTTACGGTCATCTCCCAGGGTTCCCTCGTTGATGATACCACTCTGTCCCTCGTTTGATACATCTGCCATCCAAATTGCTCGGATATTGAATCCTTGGGATTTTGAAGACGCATAGAGATCCTCCCAGAAAGGCTCATAGAGTTCCTGTGGCATATTCAGTCTCACAATATCCTGGAGACTCTGGTGCATTATCATTTAACCTACCTTAGTAAGTCCATTGGCGTGCGCGCCCAATATGGTCACATCGCCAGTTTGTGGATCAGGGTTATCAATCGGAATGTACTGCTTCACTGCCAGTTTCAAACCATCGGCTTGTCCGTTTGCTTTTGCTCCGGGGTATTCGCTAATATACTGACAAGGAACAACATGCTCGAGGACTCGAAACACATCACTAGTTGGTGGTTCCATAGCTGACATGCCATTCGTAGTGATTTGATGATGGTATCAAAGTCAAGTTGTAGAGCCCAGTCAATTGTGTTCTACAGTCAAAGATATCGCAGTCCTCTGTGCGTCTTGGGTCAAGTCAAGGGACTTTAAATCTTAAATCACCAAACACCTTGTGCTAATCAATCCGACCGATTTGACCTCGTTCGCATTTGTAATGGAGGGTTGAAAGCCTCCACATAAGCACCTCAGGCCAATCGTGATTTCCAAAAAAAGAGCATGCAATGTAGTGTGAGGTTCAACCCCCCAAAGAACTACGTATGAATGACTTGGATCGGGAAATCTCCCTATATCGTTGGGGTTTTTCCTTGCGATATGCTGTGTAACCTTACCAGTTTAGGCAGATTCGCCTGTGGGATATCGTCACGTCTTACTCATTGAACGGTCATGCTTTATCAAAGAAATGCAGTGTAACACAGAGCTTCATTTCAACGCTAAATCACACTCTAACTGGCACTTTCGGGATAGATAGGCGAAACGGGGCTGCGTCACTTGCTGGGTGTTGAACCCCTTCCCGCCATGATTGACCAACAGTATCACAGAATTTGGATTATTTCCGATATACCGCACTGGGTTCGGCAGGGTCGAATGGTTAGTCAGATTCATTTCATATGCCAATTAATACTGAAACTATGTGATAATCAAACGGCCGAGATAATATATTGTATAGCTATTGGTGAATGGTCTAGAGATTAAAGCTGCTCATATGTTCGCCGAAAGGACTGCTTTGTATGTGATTGTCCGCATATTGCAACCTAGGTAGTATCTTGAGCTCCTCCTAGCTAGTAAGGTGGACCTTCAATAGTAGGTGTCACATCATTGCTTGCTGTAAAGCTTGTAGAGATCCAGAATGTCTTTCGATAAGGTAACTATAGAATCCTTGGTTTCCACAGATCATTTTCAGTCATCGGGATTATAGAAACCTGTATCAGCGCGAGAAACTCTTAATGGTAGATGGTAGAAGTCATTGAGGGAGCAGTATGCAATTGATGGAGATTCAGATCTTAATGAGCAACTAGAGTGCGGTTATGTGTCGATCGAGGGTTACATGGAGAAAAATATTGGCTGGGCTATGCTACATAGAGTTGATATGACTGAGGATTTCTATCACTATACTTGGGGCTTTGTGGAGGTGTGGTCTCTATACTATTATCAGCGTCGCCTGGTATTGCTATCTGCTAAATGAATAAATAGACTGTTCCATCCTGCTTCCTTGCTTCAAGTATGGGGTCATAGGTGGTCGATGTAGCTGTCTATAGTATAGGAGTAATTACTTCCTGGACAGAGTATAACAACAATGCCCTATTTAACCCTATACCGTGTCCGCGTCAAGTAGCCTTGTCTATCTCTAATGTGATGCCCAGGCTCAATGAGATAAATGGTCTTCCCTTTCCTTCACAGGCTTGAAACAATTGGATCAATGATCCGGTTGAACAGTAAGGTCATGTAAGAAAGGAATGAGAGAACGTAGAACTACAGGCCTAGAAGGCGTATTCACAATAACTGAGCAAACAAACGAGCAAATGGACTGATATAAAAGCCTCGAAGATTATACCGCCAAGGCAGAATCCATATATTCTCTTCTAATTATCGTAGCTCTTCCCATCCGCATCATCCACTCCATCCAATCCCTTGGTGATTTCCATCACATGCTGGAACATTCACTGCAGTGGCCAATCAAGCTACACTCGAAAAATGGAGATGGCCAGTCCCACAAGCAGAAATAAAGCGCGGGGGGGACCTTGAGGGCTGGAAGCTATATCGCATCTCGCATCTCGCATCTCGCATCTCGCATCTCGCATCTCGCATCTCGCATCTCGCGACACCCTCCCACTTCCATCTCATCTACACGCGTCTAACACATCTACAGATCCAATCTCGAATGCACAGAAGCCATCCATACGGATGAATGATTCATTGAAACGAAAAACCACGCAATGTCTATTCAAGGGTCATCAGAGTGCATGCTAGAAACAAAAACAAGGAAGAGAAAAAAAACGAATCCATCATGATCATGCCACAATCCCATCCCAGGGTGGAATCAAAGAAAAATCAGATCGTTGAATCCCTCTGCCAAACACCTGGGCCGTCGTGGTCTCATTCTCCATCTTCAGCTTCATCACTCTTTCCGAATTCCCCTCACAGTGCAAGACCAGATCCGCCACAAACCCCCGGGTTCCCAAAGACGAAATAAGCAAGGAAAGGTAAGGGAAGAAAAGCAAGGTGAAAAGAGTATGCAAAGAAGTGCAGATTGGGAGGACAGGGAAAATAAAGAGATTACAGGGAATTGAGAATAAGAGAACCGAGAAGAGAAGGAAAATCACTGATATCTTCCGGGGTCTTCAGAGAGAACGCCATTTGCAAAGCACAAAGACAAACACGAAAGATGTTCCGGTTCAGAGGAGGGGGAGTGCCCGCTTCACATTGGTATCATAAGCGAAGTTCGTCACGGGTGGACATCTCTCGATCGAAACGGTATGGAACGGTCTTCGAAATTCTTTTACTGCGAAGCGCACTGCACACGCTCGGCACCGCCGGGCACGTCGTCATCCTCATCCTCCATGCCGGCGCCGGCGGCACCGTGGGCGCGGGCCTTCTCGCCTTCGCTGCTCTCGATACTCTCCAGCTCAAAGTCCTCGACCATGGCGTCAGCTGGCGGTTGGGTCTGCTGGAGACGAGGGGGGAGGACCTTCTCCAGGAGGTCCAGGTTCTGGAGCTGGTCCTTCTGGGGGAACTTGACATCGAACTTGATGTACAGGTTGCCGTGGTCGTGGTGGCGGAACGAGGGCATACCCTGGCCGGGGATGACCTTGATGGCATCTGGAAAAGGTTAGCAAATTGTCCAAAGGCTGGTGGAACAGGGGTACATACCAGGAGTGATAACTTCACCAGGGGCAATGTTCACGGTCATCCACCGGTCATCGAGGTGCTCGATGTGGATGGCACCGCCAGCAAGAGCGGTAAGCAGATCAATCTCAGCCTGGTAGAACAGGTCGTCATTCTTGCGCTGGAAGCGGGGGTGGGGCTTCTGCTCAATCTCGAAGACGACATCACCAGGCATGACACCGGGCATCTGGTCACCCTCACCGCGGAACTCGATCTTGTGGCCATCGCGCACACCCTTGTCGACGTGGACGTGGAGCACCTTGCGCTCAACAACGGTCTTCTTGCCATTGCACTTCTTGCAGCGGTCCTTGTCCTTGACGATCTCACCCTCACCGTTACAGTCAGGGCAGACGGTCTGGAAGCGCTGGATCATGGGACCCATCTGGCGCATCATGGTCTTCATACCGCTACCGTTGCAGCCTGTGCACTCCTTGACGGCACCCTCCTTACCGCCGCGGCCATCACAGCCACCACAGATGACGGACTTCTGGAGAGCAAGCTTGGATACCTTGCCCTTGTAGATGTCCTCCAGGTTGACCTTGTGCACGTGGTGGATTGTGCGGGCCTTCTTGGGACCGGGGTCGCGCATACCACCACCACCGAACATTCCACCGAAGGGACCGCCGCCGCCGCCGCCGAAGAATTGCGAGAACAGGTCCTCGGCGTTCATGCCACCGCCGGCACCACCGTGCTCCAGACCCTCCTCACCAAGCTGGTCGTACAGTTGACGCTTCTCGGGGTCGGAGAGACACTCGTAAGCGGCCGACAGTTCCTTGAACTTCTCTGCAGCCTCGGGGTTGTCGGCATTCTTGTCTACAGACAGAGTAATGTCAGTTTGGGAGATTCTGAAAGCGCTATCGGACGGATTGTTCACGTACCAGGGTGGTACCGGAGAGCACCCTTCTTGTAGGCAGTCTTCAGCTGAGCCTCACTACACCCGGGGGCAACCTGAAATCGACGAAACATGTTAGCTCTGGGACTAAATGCAATCTGGGAGAGCAGCGATGGATCGAACATACGCCCAAGAGGTCATAGAACTTCGTTTCCTTGACCATTGTGAAATGTGCGGGGGAATGGAAAGGGTCAAAAAGAAGGAATGAGGGACGATCCGATGGAATCCCAGTGAGAAATAGAGGGGCACAAAGGTCAAAAACTTGACGGTCTTAGAACCAGAAGGACAACAACTGGTGGATGGAGGGGAGAGAAGAGATGGTTATCTGCAACAATAATCGAAGCCAAAAAAAAGGCTTAGTAACTTTTTTGCCAGGCACTGTATGGGCTGTATCGGGCTCGTATAAATTACCAGGGCAACCCAGGCTTTGAATTTGATTTTCTCAATTTCTTTGAAAGAAGATCTAATTAGAAAAGTGTGCTTTCTTTCTTTACATCTCACTATTTACACCACTCTATTTGTCCTCTTCTGGTGGTTTCTTCCCTGTAGTTCTGGCCCGAGCGCTGATTCTACGGGATTCCGTGGCATTCGATGGTCTTCGCACGTATTCCATGGGTATGTAAATTACCGCTGACTAAGACTTAATTATTCATAAGATGCGTTATGTATTCAAGACATGCATATCATGTACTAAGTTAGTAGAACAGAGACATTATACATGAACACGTTATAACATATTCACTTACTGTATAGACACTCATGTAATCAGAAAATTTCCAACTCGCCACTTAGCCATACGCCGCCACTTATCGATAAAGCCGAGGGAAGGCTCTTCATGGTCCACCCGTCATAGAGGGGCGGAAGTCCCCGACTATAGACAACTTAGGCCTATATCACTCTCTCTCTCTTTTCTACACCCACAAATCCATATAACAACCATGGAACAAGATCCAGGATTCATCGCCGCAATCGAAGAGGCCAAGCAAGGTCTGGCCGAGGGAGGCGTCCCAATCGGCGCTGCTCTAGTATCCAAAGACGGCAAGATCCTAGGCCGAGGTCACAACATGCGCGTGCAGAAGGGGAGCGCCGTCTTGCATGTCAGTCTACCTTGATACTATATACCATGAATCCTAGAGCTAGACTTGGGACAGATCTACAAGTAGGGACGAATATGCTAACGTGAACATTTCCATGGAAAGGCCGAGATGTCCGCGCTTGAAAACTCCGGACGGCTTCCTGCTTCCGCTTATGAGGGTGCTACTATGTATACCACTCTCTCGCCTTGTGATATGTGTACTGGTGCTTGTATTCTCTACAAGGTGAAGCGGGTTGTGGTAGGTGAGAATGTGAGCTTTATGGGTGGTGAGGAGTTGCTCAAGAACCGTGGGAAGGAGGTCATTGTGCTTGATAATGCTGAGTGCAAGGAATTGATGGCCAATTTCATGAAGGAGAAGCCGGAGCTATGGTATGTTTTTGTTTCTTTTTTTGTTTCTGGGTGTTGTGATGCGCGTGGCTGCATTGGATTTCTTGTCTTGTTCATGGTCGTTGATACTGATTCTGGTTGCGGTACAGGAATGAGGATATCGCTGTCTAGTTTCATTAGGCTTGCTTATGTAGCCTTAAATACCCTGAGAATTGACAACGATTCATATCGTGAGAGTGGGAGTGCTTTTTGTTTCCATGTAGTCTTCTATAATCTCAGTCGGGGAAGAAGCCGACCACTTTTAAGCTCTTGGTCATGTCCAATTATACGGTCAACCGGTGGACCTCCTCGAAGAAGAACTTGAGATGCTCGGGGTCGACAAAGGGCGTAACACCTACATGACCAATTAGCTTGATATTAAGCCCTAATATGAGGCTCAACTTACCGTGACCCAGGTTACAGATCCATCCCTGCTTGCCCTTCTTGAATCCCTTCACCATATGCTCGACAGTCTCGGTAATAGCCGGGCGACCACCGTACAGCATGCCGGGGTCCGCATTACCCTGGATGGTAACACGGCCATTAGCAATGCGCATAGCCTCACCAGCATCGTGCAGCCAGTCCAGGCCAACAACATTGTAACCCGATTGGCAAAGGTCGTCCAGAGCATACCAAGCGCCCTTGGCGAAAACCGTCATGGGAACAGGCTCCAAGCCCATCTCCTGCAGCCGCTTGGGCAGGTTGGCGGAAATGTGGCGCAGGTAAGGAAGCGAGAAGGAAGCAAACGAAGTGGGAGACAGCTCGCCAGCCCACGAGTCAAAGACCTGCACCAACTGCGCACCAGCAGCGACCTGGAGGGCAAGGTATTCCACACAGATCTCGGCAATCTTCTGCAGCAGGGCCTGTGCCTCCTTCGGGTACTTGTACACCCACTTCTTGGACTGCACGAAGAGCTTGCTGCCACCGCCTTCGACCATGTAGCACAGCAGCGTCCACGGCGCACCACAGAAGCCAATGAGGGGCACGCGACCCTTCAGCTTAAAGCGTGTGAGTGAAATTGCCTTGTAGACGTAGTCCAGCTCTGTCTTCACGTCCACTTCCTTCTCCATCACCTTGGCGTATTGCCCGTCCTCTGGCGACTGGAGGGGCTCTGGGAAATGGGGTCCCTTCTTGTCCAACATCTCTACGACCATTCCCATGGCCTGTGGGATGACCAGGATATCGGAGAAGATGATTGCGGCGTCGATGAGGCCTTCATAACGTTCGATGGGCTGGAGAGTTAGGGTCGATGCGATCTCGGGTGTGCGGCAGCATTCGAAGAAATCACGGCCGCCCTTTGCTTCATGATACTCGGGAAGGTAGCGACCAGCTGTTTGAGAGAGAATCAAGGTCAGTTAATTGTTCTAGGTCGTGATCTGCATGGTAGGAATAACTAACCCTGTCGCATAACCCAAATCGGAGGACGCTCCACCTTCTCGCCTGCGATTGTCAGCTCCGCTCAACTCGAAAAAATCAAGGTCTACATACCCCGAGCAGCCCTCAGCAGCAAATCGTTCTTAAGTGGCTCAAATTGTTCCTGCATTGTGTGATGTGGTGGGATGAAGGAGGAGAAGTGGACTTCCAAGTTCTCCGGGTACCGCAGGCCCGCGATCGGATCGGGACCTCGGAGGTTTTATAAGTTGCGCATCTGTCTAGAAAGCTGCCAAAGTCGAATATGGTAATATTGTTTTCCTTTAACTGTCCAAATTAATTCAATTAGTTAAAATATCCAAAATTTGAATGAATGCTTGCTGCTCGAAAAATCCAAATCTGGGTAGACCTACGTCCCCGCATATATATACCGTCAAGAATCAGCATATCTTCTATACTCTTTCATACTTTTTGCCAGTTAAAACATAGATTGCTTCATAGTCTCATGCGAGTTTGGAGATATCTAAAATATTTGCTAAATGTACATAAAAGACATGCCTACTTTTAATTCCACCCATTCTTCCGGAGAACGGACAAACCATACAATTGCTCGTTGAGCGATTTGGTGGTCTTCTCGTCCAGTTCCGTGTGAACAAGTGTGCTGCTATCAGTGTTGATACTGGAAACAATAGAGTCCTCGGCAGGGACCCATTTTCCAGCCTCAACCCGAAAGGTTTCCAGAAGAGCCTGGGGAGATGATCGCCAAACACTGGTCGAGTTAGGTTCCCGCAGGTTGTCCACGGAGACAGCAATGGTGTCCTTGGAACCGATCGAAACCAGGTCAATGACGTTGCCTGAAAGTTGTAGGGTCTCTTGTTGCTTTAGCGTGTTATCGTTTTCGAGAGCGTAGCAAAGAAGTTGCGAAGATCTGCTTCCAGTATTAGTGTTGATAATGATCACCGACTCCAGTGGTACGTACCCTTCAAAAGCAACAAAGATACTCTTCAGGCCATCGGCATTATCGGAGACAGCCCAGATTCCAGAAACCGTGATATCTGTTTCTGACTCAGACAGAGGGACCTTCTGCAAGACCTGCCCCTCAACCCAATTCCACACAAGCAAATGCTTGTCGCCACCACCTGAGATGAGAACATTTGGTGCCCAGGAAGGAATGCAAAGCTTGCTAATGAAAGAAGTGTGACCAAAGCAGTATTGCTCAATGACATGAGCTTGGGGGTGACCACGGGATACACGGATATGCTCATCACGATCCGCAGTGAGGATGTAATTCCGTGGGTGACTGATGGTTGAATCTGCAGGCCGGGTCACAGAGACCATGTCTGTCAGCATCGAAACATGACCAATAATGGCCTGATGCTCGAAGTTGAGTGCGGTAGCCTCTGCTGAAGCCTTCTTCTTCAATGCAGCCTGTCTCATCTGCTGTTCCAAGGATTCCAGGTTGCGCTTCGTGTGCACAGTGAGATTCGTGGCAGATGGAGCATATTCCTTCTCTTCGGCCACGACTCTCTTGTACTCTGCGCTGGGAATCACCGGGATAATGTACACATCGCCGAACTTGTCGGCGCACAGGATGTCATTCTCATTAGGTGTCAGAGCCAACACACTTGGCCGCTTTGGCATTGTTCTATATGTAATGAGCTTGGTGAGCTTGAAATGGATAAAGGGGCACTTACCGGACACTCTCCTTTACGAACTGCCCATTGTCTTTTAGGCTGTAGACTCGAATACATTTGTCCTCGGCGGTAAGGAAAATTACATATTTGCCTTGGGCCACAATGAGGAGGGGAATACTCGACCAAGTGAGCTTGACATCTTCCTTTGACTGCTTGCCTGCGGACTCGGATTGCTCATCCTTCTGCTCGGAGGGCGAAGATAACTTGCGTCTCTTGCCCGGGGGACTGTTGAGATCGTCCGACACGATCGATTCATCCGCACTCGGAAAGACATCTAGGCAGTCGCCAGTAGAAGCAGAGTATGAATAGACCTTTGCACCAGCAGTAGCAATTAGCAAATCAGACTGGCCTGCCGATTCTCTTGCGACATATCGCAGACACTGAAACGGGTGCCGGAGAGAAGGCATGTTGAAATGGGCGATCCGGCTGAAGGGATAGCAATTCAGCTCCAGATAAATCCCGAATGCGCAGAATAGACTCAAATCGCAATGGCAATCGAGGTCCGTCGTCTCTCGTCAAGTCCATATGGGCGGGTCTACTTTTTACATCACGTGACCCACTAGCGAACGCACCAAAAAGTTTTCCCGAAATCGCACTAAACCATTTCTCTTCTTCATCAACCACAACAACGACCTTGTCCTTAAACAACCTATCTTCAGCGAAATTAAGGAGAAATGGGGGGCAAGTCTGCTACCAAGACCGCTTACTTCGAGAAGCTCAAGCAGCTTCTCGATGAGTACCGCACCGTCTTCATTGTCGGTGTCGACAATGTCAGCTCTCAGCAGATGCACGAGATCCGTATCTCCCTCCGTGGAGAGGGTGTTGTCCTGATGGGAAAGAACACCATGGTATGTCTACCAATTGACAATACCTGCCTTGAACCCCTCGCTGACCGCTCTGATTTTAGGTTCGTCGTGCTCTCAAGGGCTTCGTCGCCGAGAACCCCGAGTTCGAGCGTCTCCTGCCTCACGTTAGGGGTGTGTACTATTTCTCCTTGTCGCATGTAACCAATTGGCTAATATGAACATCCCAGGCAACGTTGGTTTCATCTTCACCAACGCCGACCTTAAGGCCATCAAGGAGAAGATCCTGGCCAACCGTGTCGCTGCTCCCGCTCGTGCCGGTGCCATCGCTCCCGGTGACGTCTGGATCCCCGGTGGTAACACCGGTATGGAACCCGGTAAGACCGCGTTCTTCCAGGCTCTTGGTGTCCCCACCAAGATTGCCCGTGGTACCATCGAAATTGTCTCCGACCTCAAGCTCGTTGAGGCCGGCAACAAGGTCGGTGCCTCCGAGGCTACCCTCCTTAACCTGCTGAACATCTCCCCCTTCACCTACGGTATGACCATTCAGCAGGTCTACGACAACGGCCAGTGCTTCGGTGCCGATGTCCTCGACATCACTGATGAGCAGCTCCTGAAGACCTTCACCCAGGCCATTCAGACCATCACTGCCATCTCCCTGGCTGCCAACTACCCCACCATCCCTGCCACCATGCACTCTCTCATCAACGGCTACAAGAAGGTCCTCGCTGTCGCCGTCGAGACCGCCTACAGCTGGCCCGAGATTGATGAGCTCAAGGACCGCATCGCTAACCCCGATGCTTACGCCTCTGCTGCTCCCGCTGCCGCTGCCGCTGCCACCTCCGGTGGTGACGCCCCCGCTGCCGCCGCTCCCGCTGAGGATGAGGAGGAGTCCGATGAGGACATGGGCTTCGGTCTCTTCGACTAAGCGCCTCCACGGGACAATGCCATGTATTAGATTTACTTGAACCAGAGCTTGAAAAAGCCCCTGGCAATGAAACATGATGCCTTGGCAATGGATTTTCTTCGGAAACCTAGGACTTGTATAATGGAACGTAGCCGCGCTCCATTGTCGTTTCCACTGAATTGGTGAGTTACTACATTCTTCTTATTTGCTACTCTTGCTTCCCCCACACACACCTTGTTACAATGTCACCCTGGCGGATGATTATACATTTTTAACCCCGAGCATCATGCCCCTCTCCGGGGCGCTTTGAAGATTAAAAACACGCAACAACAACACTCTAATTTTTTGATGACGCCATACCTTCACACATTGCTTTTGCCTCTCATTTTGACTTGCACTCAATTTGCAAACAATTGCTAACTTGTGATAAGATTACAGATCCTCGCCTTGCAACAGTAGGCCGATGTCTCGTAGGCAATTCTGTAGCTGGATGATACCATTAGAACGTCTGTTCGCTTGTGTTGTTATCTTAATTGATTTTCAACACTCAATGAAATTTTTCAGTTACAATCTCTTTCAAACTTTGTGATCATCCTGTTGCTAGTAGTTTAAACCTGACTCGCAATTGCTATCTTAGATCAGGCCTAAGTTCTAAGCTCATGTTGCGAGACAGTGCTGTCCATCCCTTGGACTCAACGCCGTTATTGGATGAAGCACCTTCGGTTGCATCGTGGGCCTGTCTTGTTGTCTTCCTCGGCATCTCTAGCTTGCTGCTTACGTCTGGCTACGTTGGCAGCCATCGCCAACGATGCACGAGAGAGATAGAATCAAGGGCTAGTTGGCCTAAAATAGCAGTTTGTCCAAATGGTATACAAATGTCAAGTACAAACATCAGACATTAATTAGAGATACGACGCCTGGATATAAGCTATGTACCTTCTAATCACGACATGTGGTATCCATGCTCCATCAAAAATAGAGTGTATAAAAAGAATAATCAAATAGGAGCACACCGCTATGCTCCATCTTCTGTATTCCGTCCAAACCTCCCACCAAATCCACCTAGATCACGACGGAAGAATTTGCCAATATTCTTCAGGTTCTCATTGAGATTACCCGCAGCTGTACCTTCCGATGTCTGCACGTTATTAGGCTGGAGTATGGATCCAGTCGGAGCAGGAGATGACGTCCCCGATGGACTGGTGATGCCCGATCCAGACGCGGGGGGTCCTGCAGCGCCGAGGGTCGTCAGACTTGGGTTCCCGAAACGGTCGACGCCATCCTTTGCAGCCGAGATGATTGCAGAGCCGAGCATGGAGGCATCGAAACGTGATGGCATGGCTGAGGTGGCGCTGCCGAGTCCTAGGCCTTGAGATACGGAGGTCGTGCCGGTGGCTGTGGGGCCTTGGAGGGCGGCAAGGATGGGGTTGTTTGGCTGGAGGCTTGAGGCGTAGCGGTCTGAGGCGCGGTGGAGCTGGAATAGCTCGACGAGGTGGTTTTGTTCTTGGCGGCTGCGGATGCCTTTGAGATCGAGGATTTTGCGGAAGTTGTTGTTGTTGCGGTCCGCGATGTGGATTAGGTATGCTTGGACTAGAGCTTCTGGTGGTGATGGGCGGACCTGGAGTGTTTTGAGGAGGGTTTCGATCTTGAAGAAGCTTGTGTTTACGCGCTTGACGAAGCCGGCTGGGGCGGGGGCCGGGAGAAGGGATGAAAGGCCGCTCTTGAGTGTATAGGAGTCGAGGAGCATCTGGAGGTTGAGTAAGTAAGATGAAAGATATAATGGACGGGGTGATCGTCGTACCTGTTCAGCGCCAGTTTCCGATACAGGTCTGCATTGGAAAACATTGCTGATAAACTGACTCGACATGAGCTCCACCAAATGGTCAGAGAAAGCACGCGCATATTGCTGCTTGTGCAATAGCTGGAGAATCTCTGATGCTTTATCTTTCGTGTGAGAAAGCATTTCACCCACATAAGAGCTCTGATCGCTGACAGCCTCGATCTTGGCCCACGGCGTGTTACGCATCTCTCGCCAGGATGGTTCAAGCTCGACCTCGACTTTTCGCACCAGACCCCGTACAGCAGCGGACGCAATACCCATGAATGAATCCGCTTGGCTTTGCAAATCCACAGATTGCTTCAGATTCTCGTCCAACCTGCCCCTGATCTTCTCTTCCAGCTGGTTGCAAGTTGTGTAGCAGTAATCGGCGGTGTTCAAAACCGACACCAGCTCTTCTATCGTGGGCACTCGAGATGGTGTGTGTCCTGTTGGTCGCTCACTTATATAGTTGAGAAGGACCTGCTGGGCATACTGATCCAGGTATTTAGCAAATACCTTTGCAAGCTCCGCCAGGCTGCCTCCAGTTGAGAGCTTGGCGCACTGTTGCAAAGCATGCCGGTAGAATGTGAAAAGTTCAGTCGAGGATGAAATAACAATGTGCGAGTTGAATTCTTCGTCCGGAACTTTAAGGGGTTGTTGCCGGTACTTAGGGAGCAGCGCTGCGAGCTGTTTATCCTGGGCCTCGACCCAAACACTGAGGTATGGCTCAAAGGCTTCGGAGATAGACTGGCTAAACACAGGCGGTTCAGTTGAAGTAAAGGTATCAGTAGATGCACGCGATGCAGGGGCAAAGCGGCGCTCGAGAGAATGTTCAAAGTCGAGTGTCTCTTGCAAACAAGAAAGCAGCAAGTTGACATCAATATTCTGTCCACTGCGCACAGACCGAGACAAGATGCCCTTGAAGTCATCCCGTGTGCCTTCACAAAAGACATTGGCCAAGATCTCATCGACCCGCCACGAAGTCGGGAAGATGGCCGCATTCTCTTCATCATAAATCTTCAATATGCGCCGGAACCACGAGTACCGGCGTGAGATGTTATCCAAGGATCCAGCCTCTTCGTTATTTCGGAAGACCTGCCGGTACTCACGGAGCTGTGTATTGCAGTACCAAGTCACCAGACGAGACCGTGCATGATCACCGAGGGCATCTGCGACCAGACACGCCTCCGCGAGCATCGCCCGCTTGGGGCCTACTTCACCCTTTGCAAAGGCAATCTCGAAGTCCTCACAGACCTGCTCCTGAAGATCACGTTGTATATCTGCCACATTCCGGCTCAGCATGGCAATTTGGTCGATGGAGCGGTATGACTTGAAGTGGGCCATTAACTGGATCACGGCTTGGAGTAGCTGTGCACAATCCCCGTATTGTCGCGTCCGGCTGAGAGCCTGGAGCTGGTCGTATGCTGTAGTCAACATTTGCAATCGCTTCAGCGCCGTCATAGAGAGTGTCAGGTTCTTCTTCGCATTGTCCAGCTGCTTGATGTCCGCCGTCATGTCGGTGATTGCCTGCTCGGTCTTCAATGCGCGTTCCCGGACATCGTCGATTTTCTTGAATAGCTCCGACAGATCGGCCTTGGCTGCCTGTATCCGTTCCACGCTATCGGCATTGGAGGTAACCTGCTCCTCCACGAGGGTGGCGATGTCATCGTCAAGTTCATCTTCGCATTGGTGCAGGGCGTCGGAGATCTGAGAGACGGAGGAGAGGGTGGAAGGATGGGAGAAAACGGCATTCAAGTGTTCAATCGGATCGTAGTCCACTGTTATTGCCTTGGCGTTAGCATGCACGACGAGCACGAGAGGCCAATTGTTCCGCACCTGCATCCAAGGCATTGAGGTGTTCCTCGTCTGGCGGCATGTGGCCGGTAGTTGGGGCAGTAATCGCAGTCATTCCATCAGCTCGCAAGAATCATCCCGCCCTTAGCCTCGAGACAGTTTAGGCGGAATGCGTGAAAGAGGTGGAATGGCGGAGGTGATTCGCGACCCGCATGGCTCTAGCGCACCAGCTTGGCATCTTACGCAACCCTACATTGTGCCTATGATAGCGGATTTCCACTACCACGTCTCAGCTTTCCCTTTTCGGTTTAGCGCTCACCTCTTGCCGCTTTTGGCTCACTCAGTAAAACTGAGCACGCTCCGCTCACCTAGTATTACATAAACCCACTGACATAAGTTAGTGAGCTAAGTTAGTGAGCACTCAACATCACGTGAGCAACCTGATCCACTCACTAAGCGCCCAGCTAAGTCAGCCAACCTCAATAAAATGCACCACGCTAGCCCCATCCATATGCAGTCGTCCACCCAGAACTCTTGACCGTTGTCCCTCAACGAAGGGCTGGTGTCATCAATGTGGCGGCGATCTTGGTTGTTTCGCTTCCAACTGAAAGGCAAATGCATAGTGGGGGCCAGATTTATATTACAGACCCAGATAATAGCCTTACAGGCTACCAAGATACCCGCTAATTATCTTATTATATTGCCTATGTTTGCTAGGTCGATGCTATTAGACTACAAATAACAGGTTTAGTAATTGTTGTGATTTGAGGCTCGTGAAGACCAGGACCTAAGCCGTATCATCGAAATTTATTCCTACACTATCTATAGGAAGGAATAAGCAGGGACTACCACACGGAAACTAGCTAGACTTCATCTTGTATCACCTCAGAATGAGCATCCGACCTTCTTTGAATTACTACAATAACGAATATTCCTAGAACAGCAAAACGGTGGATATATGGACAAGGCGTGACAACCTACTTCCACATACTTGGGTTTTCTCTGAAGACACATTAGGCCTTAGAAAATTGAATTTGAGAAAGTGCAATCACGACTTAAGACCCTGTAGTCCGATCATTTCGATAGCTTAGTCAGGGGTATTCTAAGCTCGTATTCGATACAATTGCTCATTATTTACCGACGTAAGGAATTTTACAGAATTTGTGTTCCACCTGCACAGCTACTCCTGTAATTTCTGAGATACATGGAACAGGTATAATTCTGTATGATACCATTATCGTATGGTGCCGTTGCGGCTTATATTGCTTTTGGCCTATTATAAATCATGAGATTTCACTTAAAGAGGGCCATCTAATAAATATCGACTCATAAAACTATCCTAGTGAACCTTGCTTCCGAGGGCTATTCTGGCTTTTCAGAAGTGGATGTCACATATCTAAGGGCTCGCCCGGAGTATCCTAGGAACAGGGACGTTTTTTCTTCTTTTTCCTGGGAAAGTTTAAGCTTCACACGAACTCCTAGGAGCCTGATGCTCACGACACATTAATTCCCAGGAGCCACTACAGTTACGCGTGAGAGAAGGATGTTATAGATCGGTACTACTAGTTAGGGGACTAAATATATGTAAACGTTTCGGGAAAGACGAATTAGGAACATATCTGTGTGAGTGACAGGCTTTCAGACGTGTTGCCATGACTCACTAGATTTTGTGCTCCTAGGAGCGTTCAATCAGATTTCTTTCTGAAGACCTTTAACAGATTGGGTCTGTTAAGGTTTATGCACGTTTACGACAGAAAAGAAGCTTCCCACTAGAGCTTTGGGTTTCCATTTGAGGGGTGGAAACATGCCCTACTAATGAGAAGGGTAAAGGTCTTCCCAGGAACGAGCCAGTAGACAGTCAAAAAGGGCCGCGCTTTCCGCGCTTTCTCCGTCATCAACTTACTCCATAGGGATTAATTTAAACATCTGACCAAGGTCGTTGAACAACTCTCATGGTCTGTCTACAGCATGAACAGTAAGATTCCCTAAACAGCTATTTTTCCCACATGCAAATTGGAAACTTGTATCTGCAATAACAACAACGACTGCGTCGTCATGATTTCTGTGCAAATTGTAAGGGCTACTACAAGACAAGATATATTCACTTTTACTATTCATGGAAGACCACACCCTCAGGCCGTGCAATGTGAGATAAATTGTCGGTTTCAGTCTCCGGCTAGGTTATTGGAGGATATTTGCGTTTCAGGATATCCCACTAAATCCCCTTTGCTCAACAAGACATCACTTCCTCCTTCCAGGGGCAAGCTGACGTACCGCGTGGTTGGATTATCCAAAGAGATTCTCAACACGGGTAACGCCCGGACACGCTGGAGATAATTACCATCTTGAGGAAATTTCCGGTACCTTCCTGAGATACACTATTCATTCAACTCTTGCTTGGCTGGACTTGCAGATCTTCTTGGCTGGGAGATACAGTCTTTACTGACTATTTAGGAAAATTGGGCCGACCCATCAGCAAAGGGAAGTGAAACGTGCGATCAGTGCGAAGTTGTATAATCTCACGCACACGTTACCCATTATGCCACTCGGCCAAAAGATCATAACAACAATTGGAACGCCGATTGTATGTTGTAGCGGTATATATACTAGGCCCTAGCGTCTGCCCGGGACCACATCCTCATTGTAGACACCACGGGTGGCATTGTGATCCACATCGGTCGGTTTCCTCAAACAATGATGCAGATAGCCGGCTGCGAATCAGAGATATATTGTAGGGTGTATAGGTTCTATAAAGTCTCCGGGTGAATCCGATTCGCAAAGGCGCCAGAAACAGCCGCAGTCACCTTTGATTAACCGTCACTAAGGTTACCGTACACGTCTCATATGGACCAAGCTCGACAAGAGACAACGGTCCTTCGGCAATGCCATACACCCTTCATCTAATCGACCGCGTACGTTTGCCGTGCGCGAGCCGAACCTAGTATATATATTCATCATCCGGTTGCTGCCCTTAGTCTGCTCTCTTCCAACCCTCATCCGTCCATTTACACTCTCGACACCTTACCTCTCTACGTTCTGCACCGCCTTGCGCTCTCATTCTACTTACATGCCGCTGGCTGGCTGCCTTACGGTAGCCCAGGCGGCGTCTCCCCTCTACAAATATCCTGTCGACATTCCAGGCCTGGGCAAGGTGCAGGGCGTTGCTGCCCTCAACAGCTCTGTGGCCGACTATGTCGACAATTGGGCCAACATCTCTTTCTTTGGCGGCATTCCGTTCGGTGCCAACCGCTTCGCGCCTCCTCAGCCTGTGGCGCCATGGAACATCACCCTGGACGCCTCCACCTTTGGCCCCATCTGTCCTACCTCGAACCAGCAGATCTCGACGTACCCCATGAGCGAGGACTGCCTGTCCGTCAACATCTGGACCCCGGCCACCTCGGCCGACGACAAGCTCCCCGTTGCTTTCTGGAGCTACGGCGACGGCACCGCCGCACCCCAGGCCCAGTTCAACGGCGGTGGTGTCGCCGGCAAAGGCATCGTATTTGTCACCTACAACTACCGCAATGGCGCGCTGGGTTTCGTCGCCGACCCGAGCCTGCCCGAGGTTACCGGCAGCAACGCCACTGGCAACTGGGGCGTATTGGACCAGTACCTCGCTCTCAAGTGGGCGCACGACAACATGGCCGCCTTTGGTGGTGACCCGGACCACATCACCGTCATGGGCCAGTCCTTTGGCTCTGCCGCCACCTTCCACATTGTCAATAGCAACCTGACCACCAGCCTTGGCATCGTCGGCGCCATTTCTGAGTCGGGTGTGCGCTCCCCCAACGATGTCATGACCAGCGAGATCGCACCCTGGATGAGGCGCTGGAGATTGGTGCCGCCGCGCTCGCCGATCTTAACGTCACCACTGTTGACGAAGCTCGCGCTCTTTCATATGAGACCATCCTCGCTAGCACTGGCACCGAAGACCAGGAGGTTAAGCCTGTACTCGACTACTATGCCATTCCCGACAAATACATTGCCTCCATTCGCCACGGCGCTGCTAATAAGGTGCCCTACATTACTGGCAACAACGCAGGCGAGTACGGTGTAAGCAATACCTTCACCACTACTACTGATGACTACATCTCCTACGTCGAGGGAATCACTGGCGACTTGAACGCAACATTCCTTGCCGTCTACCCTGCCGATAATGATACTCAGGCATCGACCTCCCAGATCGCCCTTGTCCGCGACCAGAGCACCGTTAGCAGCTGGCAGGCCATGGATGGCTTCAGCAACTCCTCGGGCGCCACCACCTACACTTACTACTGGAACTACGCCCCGCCCAACGACGGCAGTGCTTCCCATGGTTCCGAGATACCCTATGCGCTTGGTAACCTCTGGGCTCAGGCTGGTGTCAACTACACTTCCGAGGACTTCTACGTCGCCAACGTGCTCAGCAGCTACTGGGCCAACTTTATCAAGACCAGCGACCCTAACTCTGGGGACTCGTATAACAACGGCACCCTGCCCGCCATCTGGAAACCCAACTCTGTTGTGGGCAAGACTACCTTCAAGGTCGGTGCTGCTTATGAAAACATTGGCGTTGCAGGTTCGGATGCCAAGATCCAGGCTTTCTTGGAGTGGTTTGCCGTTACTCCTGCTATCTAGTTATGGTTTCTAGTAGAAGAAAATAAGGGATATAGCCACTATTAGACAGATATAGTACATGGTACAGACATTCGATTTCTAGCCCAATCTATATTTTTTAGAAGTACGTCTAATTTATGCTATGCCCTATCAAAAAATGGGAAAATCAGCATTCTAATTACAAATTGTATAGAGATCACTGTCGGTAAAAAGGAAAAGCAATCTTACTAGCGTTATATGTTTTATTCAAAACCAACTACTTTCTGATTCCCAAGGCATTATCCAGCGCGCACGACGCTTTGATGAGGAGGGTCCCCGGACCGTTGGAATAATTACCAATCCAGATCTGATCAATGCTGGTACGGAAGCACGTATCACTTGGCTGGCCAAGAACTGTGACCGCACCAAGCTCACACTTGGATTTTTTGTCCTGAAACATCCTAGCCCAACGGAACTCCAGGCGAAGATGACCTTGGAAGAGCGGCGCAGAAAAGGCCTATTTTTCCACTGAGCCTCGGAAGAAGTAAGAGCTGGATCCTTCACGTGTTGGAATTGACAAATTGCGAAGCTTTCTGGAAGATATTTTGGATTGTAGGAAACCGCGTGCCAATCCAGAAACTCAATGAGCTGATAGGATAGGAAAAGAAATCCCATCCTTTTCTAGGGTCGGTATATTGCTGCATAGGAGAGTATCAACAGGCGGTTCCAGGTTCATTGCGAAGAGCCAACAAAAACCCTACATTGGAAGAGCAGTATGGTGTCACACCACTCAAGCTCAGCCCCATTGAACACCTCGACAATTGATGCCTGTCGCTGGAGAATAGGACGTGCAATCCTAATGACGAGATTCACTGAGCTGTAATGAATGTTAGGATAGATCTCGCAACATTACTATGAGGACAATGCTCACCACTCGGTCGTAGAAAGGACCGATGTGTGTCCACTGCCCGAATTTGGGCCGAGTAAATAGACCATGTTAGGGAACTCGTTCATCGCCACGGTCTTGTAAGCGTAGAAGTCGAATAATTTTTCAGAGTACTAACGAGTGACCAGTGACCAGTGCGTATCACTGTGGCTATGGAAGGGAAGTAGCTCCACTTGAAGTTCGTTCTAGCTCAAGGCTGTGAAAGGCCACTGGCCAACCAATAAAGATTTTATTCCATGAATTATCAAGGTAATCCAAAATAGATGATTTGCGAGGTGCGATGACCGATATGCGAGGTGCGAACTATAGCCCCACCCGGGCCCCCATATCCGAGAAGACGGGCTGTTGGCGAGATGAAAACCACATAATGCTTCGTAAGGTCCTTTGCTTTTCTTATTTACTCCCGTTAGAGCTGTATGCATAGGTTTGCCTGCCTCTCATTTTGTGTCTCTCTTTTTTCTTATACTTCGAAACTACTTGTCACCGCAAATTGTCGCCATGTCCCGCTCCAATGTGTATGGATACGACCCTAGCCAGGCAGCTGCAATGATTTTTGTCGTTCTTTTCGCAATCACAACCATCTGGCATATTTGGATCATGTTTCAACGTCGGACTTTCTATTTCATCGTGCTTATCATCGGTGATGGACGTAAGCCATATTCTCCCCAAGGCCTTTGCATGAGAGACTTTTGCGTCAATATCTTCGAAGCTTTACTGAACCAACCAAGTCGAAATCGCAGGATATATTTGTCGCTTCCTCGGGCACCATAACACCAGCGACATCACCCTCTACATTATTCAAACCCTGACGATCCTGGTCGCACCAGCCCTGTTCGCCGCATCAATCTACATGGTTTTAGGACGACTGGTTCGACTAGTTAAAGGCGAAGCATATCCACCTGTAAAGCCATCGATTTTAACCAAAATTTTCGTGGGAGGTGATATTTTCTCATTTCTGATTCAACTCGCCGGTTCTGGGATGTTGTCCTCAAACTTTACTGTGGGCAAAGCGATTATCCTTGTCGGTCTTGCTTGTCAAATACTTTTCTTTGGTCTTTTCGTCATATGCGCCACCGTCTTTCATCGCCGCCTCTCGCATGCCCCAACACCCGTGTCGCTAAGACTTGATGAGGAACGTTTGAAGCTTGGATGGAGGGATGTGACTCGGGTGATATTCCTCGCTAGTGCCTTGATCTTCATTCGCTCCATCTTTCGACTCGTTGAGTTCACTGGTAGCATAGACTCCCCCATGATGAAGACGGAGGCCTACCTCTATATCTGCGATTCGACTCTTATGTTTTTGGTCTTGTCTATTTTGATATATTGGCATCCGGCTAAGTATATTGGAACCGGAAAAGAAGCTTTACGAGTACTCAGCGAAGAGCTCTATTAAACTGGGTCAAAAGTTTGCAAATCGAGCGCCGATTCTTAAAGTCAGCATGCTTCTTGACACGCTTGTATCCAAAGGCGCAGAGACATGTTCACATTCTCATTGCGGTCTCAATATGTTAGATGAAGCAGATCCATAGCCTCACGCCTTCTGTGCTCCTCATTGACACCGAAAATGGCAATCAACGAAATGTCAGTTGTAAATTGATTAATATGTATCAGGCCAATCTGAATCTATTTCATTTCGATCCAATAATATTCCCTAGACAGCTGACTAAGAGCCTCGCTGCAGCGATATTGTCATCCATCTGTATGATTTGTTTCGGTAATGAAATGTGTTCTCTCCAGTCGGGGTCAAGGACAGAGGCAACAACGGCCATATCATGAGCGGGAAAATCTTGGTAAATCCATGTTTTCGGAAGAAACTTTAAAAAAGCAAGGTAGTAAGCGAGAACTACAAGCGCTTCGGGCCGTTCTTGTTGTACGAAAAAGAGAAACTCCGGCTGCACCACGTCGAATGTCCATGCCTTAGCTTGTTTCTCAAGAAAAGCAGGCTCGAATGGAGATTTAAGAATAGATATTATTCTCCCTAGTTCTGCTGCAGCTGTAGCCAGCGTGGAGTAATAATCTAAGTCCTCTCTTGGCCCGCGCTTTTCTTCCAGTAAATGCTGGATGGGGCACGGTGTAACTGCTGGCGTAAAAAGATCCGAGAAAGACCCATATAGACCTACAGTCGATATGGAGCTCTTTTCGCCGGGCGTCAAAGTTTCGACTTTATGGATTGCTCGGAAGTTTCGTTGACCAAGAGCTAAAGCCATCCAATTGGACATCAACAGACCAGGTTGATTTGCTATTCGGTCGGCCGGGAAAGAGACGGCTGCAAGCAAGACTGACGCGCCTCTCACAGCGTGAGTGTTAGTGATTGATACATTTTCGACCGCTCCGCGTGGTGTTCGCAGCGCCTGATCACGATAGGTAAACAAGGGCAGGGTTTCAACCGGTGTACCACTGCAAATTAGGTGCACCATTGCAGCGAAAAGAAGGGCATCCATAAGGAAATCATGCTCAAACGCCAGACGGGGAAGATCGACCTGAAGAGCCTTCACCACGTTCTCGTCGAAATTGTCAGAGAAGGTCCTTGCCGTGAAACGCTGTAGTGATGCATAAGACGAAGATCCAACAAGCTCCTCGGCGTATAATGAAGCTCTTTCGGCACTTGAAACCCTTCGGAGGCTGGAACATTTGGCAGCGCATTTTGTCGAGAGAAAATTTGACTCGAAGCAGCAGTTCTCGTCGATTCCGCAAATGAACAGTCTTCTTCGCGACGTAAACAGCCTGTACATGACGGTCGTTCCTCGTCACACTATGAAAGATTAATAAATATTTCGAATTTTCGCTTACCTTGACGCGCCGGGACTTACAATTCTGGCATCAGTTTCTCGACTTAGGGTGATATCGAATATTGCGCGACATCGCTGAAAGGGCTGGGTGGGATCAGTACGCGAAAGAGAATTGCCATACAAAAAGGTCAGGGCCGGTTAGTGCAATTCTACTGTACATGGACAATCACCTGCTATGGCTCAGCCAATGATTATGTAAAGCATTTCATACCTGGGGCCAAGCGTATCATGTGACCTCACGCTACTTAGTAAAACGCGGAGTAAGTTCAAGTTCTCCGAGCTTTCTGATTCCTATATACACAGATCGGAAAGAAGCCGAATTAACGACGTCTGTTACCTTGAATCACCATGTCATCCGCTAAAGCGACCAAGAAAAGCGCATTCTCATGCGCACCATGTCGAAAACGAAAGGTAAGAACATTGCCTCCTAATACATTCCCCATTCAGGCTCTCAAACAATCAATAACATTGTCACAGGTGAAATGTGGTGGGGAACAGCCCGTTTGCAAACGTTGCGTAGCGCGTGACGACATGTGTGTTTACAAGTTGTATGGTTTATTCATCCCCAACTCCCCGACTCCACAAGTGCTAACTAACGACTTGCAAGATCCCCAACTCTGTCTTACACCCAACGTCTTGAAAACCGCATCAAAGAGTTAGAAGATGAACTTGCAGAGCTGAAGGGTAAGGCTCTTGCATCTCGCTGTGTTCCTGAAAATTCATCTTCTGGTTGGTCAATACAAGCCCAATCAGAGTCGGGGCATGCAAGTGGGTTTGGGGGTTTGAAACTTGATGAGAAGGGGGTAACAACTTACCATGGGGCAGCAAGTTTCTTCCATCTTCTTGGAGACAACCGCACATCTACGGAGGCTTTCCAGGATACGTCAACAACAGCAGAAGATTTAGTTCTAAGGAAGCGTGAAACATTGGTCACTAATGCATGGCGACAGCGTGCTTTGGAAAATATTTCAGAGATACCAGTGATTTACCTTTCCTTTCAAACAACCGGCATGAATTTTTCATTAATCATGTCCACTAGGAGCCTTTCCAATATCTTTTGGATACGCATTGGTGTTGGATTCAACCGCTATTCAATTTCATCTATCGCCCGGCTTTTACTCGTAAGTTTGTTTCCCCCCAAGAACATATCCTTTTGCTTAAGCAGTATAGGTGATATGGAAGTCTTGGGTTCTTATTACTCGCATACCCTCCTTAACGCTGTCCTTTCCCACTCAATTCGCTGGGGCAAAAGTGACAAGACCACATGCGAGAAACTTGAAGAGGCGTATGAGAGTGGCGCCATCTTCGGAAGGCATGCTCGCACATTGCTCTTCGATGAGCTGAGCTCCGGAATATGCACAATCCCAACTGTCCAGACTCTCTTATTGCTCAGTGCGCAAGAGTGCAGTTCTGGCAACAGCGCACAGGCATGGGTATACACCGGGATTGCCTTCCGTCTCATAGACCATTTGGGTATCTGTGTTGATAGTCAACGCTATGCTGGATCAGTTGAACTGTCTGATGAGGATGTCGAGATTCGAAACCGTCTCTTCTGGAGCTGCTATTTCTGGGACAAGATGCTCAGCGTCTACCTTGGCCGATCACCCACACTACAGCATTCTACAGTTTCCCCACCTCAAATCATGTGTACGTCAGAGGTCCGGATGTTAAACATCTGAATGGCCATGGAATAACCGGCTGATGCTTCCAGTTGATGATTCCTCCGAAAATGAGCTATGGTATCCTCATAGCTTCAGCATCCCAGGCGGGGTTGAATACCCTCCCACGCCTAGCCACTCCACGTCTTGTTTCGTCAGAATGTCCCAGCTTTCTGTCATCTTTAATCAAATCCTCATACATATGTATGATCCACTGCAGCAGCATACAGAGACAGACATACAGGCATGCTTTGTGCGTGAAGATACTGCTCTGCATCAATGGTGGGACGATTTGCCACCCTTTTTGAAGATCGACGTCAATGCGCTTCCTGTGCTCGCTCCGCCTTCACATATCGTAACACTAAAGTACCTTCTACCCAGTGTCTTTTGGAGTCAACATTATACTGATAATCATAGCTGCCTCTACCATACCTTCAGAATTCTATTACATCGTCCAATGCTGTCTCGGCGCTTTCTCCAGCCTAGTGGGGCCTTAGGACCTAATCCGAAACACCTTCTCGAATGCGTCTCTTCAGCAACCTCCACCATCGTGAACTTCGATCTGTTCTGTAAAACGTTCGGAGAGAATCACTGTGTTCTATCCCTTTCCTATAGTGTTTACATTGCTGCATCTATATTCCTCCTTCAGGTCCAAGCTGCATCAGATGACAAGCAAGCACTCCGAAGATTAGGGTTTTGCATTCATGCCCTTGAACGAGTCAAGACAATCAATCCAGGTACGCCATGCACTAATATTTGAATTCTGGAGCTTAACTCTCTGCATATCTAGTTATCGGCAGCGCACTAAAGCTCATAACACGAGCTCTCCAAAAACTTGGTATCGAGGCGTCCACTCTGCGGGAACAGCTGGCCCCTGAGACTGGACCGTTTCTGAATAGGCCTATGTCGCACTTTGCGCCCCAGCCGTTAATATCCCAATTCACCCAGCAATCCCAGATTGATGACTCATTCCAACTTTCCGAATTTGACTACTTGAACGCCGAAATATTCGAGATCACTCCTGAACAATTTGAAGTTGTCTCTTCAATGGAACCCATTACTGTGATGGTTGGTGCATTAAATGGCTCGTCAGCTGTCTAGGTAGCATGTAGGTAGGGAATTGATGAGATTCATCCTTGCTAGCTGAGAACGATATTGTCTTGCAATGAATGGCATGTCTGACATTAGACAGACTTCATCGCCTGAACAACTTGGTCATACACTGTGAACGTGATGCTGCTCGAAAGCTACCAAGGATTAGTGTCCATAGCAAATGTTCAGTACTGGCTATTCACTCACGGTCAATCGGACCAGTCTCGGTGACGTCCCTCTCCAGAAACCACGAATGTCGCGGGACTGGATGGTTTGTGCAACATAATCCATCATCCCCGTATACCTCGCGCCAACACTCTGCAACTTGGTCTTCGCATTGTCAAAAGGCATCGAAGCATACCTGTCATCATCAGCGAAAGTCGGATCACCGATCAAAAAAGTGGTGGGTTGGGGCCGTTTGGGGGGGGGGAGGGGGGGCCGCCCTTACACAGTTATAGCACCGCTCAAAGCTCCAAGAAGCCACGTACAGCCAAGGTTCCCTTCTAGTTGTGGCCATCGGTTTATCACCTTCTCTTGCATCATTGAAAACGTCGTGAACCGCACCGCGCTGTTCGTTCCCTGCTTGCACAGCACAGGGACCAGTCCACTCCACAAAGATCGCACCCCCTCCTCCCGGATAACCACGCTTGTGGTTCCTAGCAGTCCTCTGTTTCCAAAACGCCTGCCTCCCGCTGTCGAATCGTGAATGATCTTAGTCTTAAGCGCCTCACCAGGTGTGACCACCAGCACACTCTCCGTCACGCCGGCACTAAGTCCGCTTAACGCGTTAACCCAAGGACTGCGCCTTCCTGGTTTAGTATCAAACATTCTGTCGAGATAGTCGCGGGATGTTTCGAAGGAAAGAAATCGAATCCCTGACTTGGCGGCGTTCGAGATGGCTAGGGCACGGCAACCGCGGTAGATACCCTGAATGCCGGAAGAGTTGTATGTGGACTTCAAAATCGAGAGCGAGGATACCGATGTTGCCTTTCCAGGTGTCTGGAGTTGTCGCGTTGTCTTGCAGAATTCCGCTGGGTACTGGTAGAGGGGCATTAGTTGTATGAACCGAAAGGCTAATATTAAAGTAGGAAGGAATATTGCGTACTGTGATGATTGTCTCAGATGACCCTGCTATGCTACCCGCTATCATTCTGTCCATCACAGATGACTTGTCCATTTTCGGCTCTTGTTGCATGGTAATGGTTTGCTACATCGGGTGAGTGGTGGGATGTCCTCATGATATAATTTTAATGGATTGAGTAAAGTGGATGGGCTCCGTTTCCCAATGCTGGCATTTGCCGTCGCACTCCGCAAATGAAAGGTTGCTTGCAAAATTGTCACAGTGGTGCCTCGGAAGTTGACCGAGCATCTGTATATCTCAGCACTCACGTCAGATTCGTGTTGTAGAGATTCAGACCGTCGCCCCACCGGTTAGATAACTAACTTACTGCGTAGTTAGTTAACTAGTTAGCTTCTAGTTAGTTCTCGCTCTCAACGTATAGATCAATCGATTTAGTTGCTTTCTGCATTTCTCTCTAGATTAGCTGTATCAACAACTTGACGCAACATAGCCATTCGTATGGATGTTATGCAGAGCTCCAGGACCTCAGTAACACGATCATCCGCTATATATCCTCGCTGAATTGTGTGTTTTCACATGGAGAAAAGCAAATGCGTACATGAATGGCATTTTATGATCGTTTCGAATCTTATCAAGTATTTATTGATTCGTAAAAAAAATCTATAGTTCTTTAACTAGGAGCCTAATTTTGGTTATTCAGTTTTATTTTTGATCTTTTTTCTTTTCTGTCACCTTAGTGTTGTGGCAGAACCAACATTCGCAACTTCGTGACTATTTCACACTATTCACTATTTCACTGATGCGCGCCTTCATGTTGAAGGGCGTGAAATATTGAGAATCAGTTCACAACCCCTTTATGCCCACAGGTCCTCCGCATTCCCCCTGAATAACCGCTCCGCCAGGAAAGGATCTTCCTCGCACCAGTTAAACACTATTTCTATCCATGATTTGATATCTACCTCTTCAAATCTCGTGTGGGGCCAATCAGTTGCAAAAACAACGTGACTTTTCCCTGCGACTTTCAAGAGCTCTGTGGCAACGGGCTCTAGATCGCTGAAATCTTGCATCTTGCTGATTCGGTACGGCGCGGAAAGCTTCACGAAGGTATTTCCTTCTGCTAGAAGATTCACTAAAGACTGGAATCCTGGCAGAGTGTATGGGTCTCGGGCTTGCGCATATACTGCCTGATCTGGTAGTAGAGGATGTCCAAAATGGTCGATGCATAGGCGGACATGTAGCTGAGGCGCGATAGCCTCGAGAATAACCATCGCGTGTAGTGGAACATATAGCTGGAGTACCCAATTCAGCGGCCGGATGGCGTCCGCGTAACGGTGTAGCATACTCTCAAGTTCATTGTCCGATAGAGACTTGCCAACCGACTGAAGATTGATCCGGACGCCTCGGACACCCATTCCATGCCAGTCGTGTAGTTGGGAAGAGGGAGTTGATTTCACGTCAAAGGTAACAACTCCGCGGGCACGTTCGGGACCGAGCTCTCGAAGAGCTTCTAACAGGCACGAGTTGTCGTTGCCATAGATAGAAGGCTGAACAAGGACAATGTTGCATATGTTCACGGACGACTCAAAAGCAAGAGCTTGGTCTAGGGTGTGTGCTTTTGGAGTGTAAATGGCATTATCCGAGAGAGGATACATGACAGGGTCGATAACATGCATGTGTGAGTCCCATGCTCCTGATGGTATACGGGTCAAGGGACTCACGCTTCGACGTTGTCCTGGTGAATACAAAGCTTCTCGCTTCTTGACGGTCACTTTGACGATATAAAACACCAGTGATCGCAACTGGTTGACAACGTATGCCTGGAAAGCACAGAATCCATTCTGCAGCATTTTGCTAGATATCCCAACAAGATGGAATAATGTCGGCTTGAGAAGAAAAGGCGCCAGAAACAGGCTATAAGAGAGGGAGCGACGTCGGGGGCGGTAGGGAAGTAGGGTATCCTTGGCTGATATATTACCCAAGGTTAGAGGTAAACAGCAAAAGAATGATTGGACTGCCGCGGCTGAGATGATCTAGTGGCTGACATTCGGAAATGTGGAATATAAAACCCAGTGCAGTCCTATGAGGTATTTGTCGCAGGTTGAGCAACACCGGAAGTTGACCGAGACTGCCTCGTATATTCCCTTTACCGAGACGATAATCGTCGAATTAGCACAGTTGAAAGTCTAAACGCATACCACTTCATGAAACGGAACACGACCGGGCTGCACTTGCACCATACTTGCCCAAGCAAAAAGATAGCCAATGGCATTGCGTAAGATTAATTTACTTCAGCTAAAGGACCAGGAGCTGCTATCGATGATAAATGCCCAAAAAGACAATAAAAAGGATTGGATCTTATGCTACTAGTGAAGATACTCTAAAAGTGCCGATGACTGTCCTTGGCAAGGAAGCCAGGAAGCCAAGGAGGCTGAGTGGGCAGACAAGACACAAAGCAACAGGTCCGTATTTCTGAAAAGGACATGCGCAACCGTTACGCCTTGCCTACGGGTGATCGAGAGTAAATGGTTTGCGTGTTCTCATAAGTAATCTGTAGATATTCTAATTGAGAATAGCTTGGGTGAACCTCGGAAGTTGACCGAGTCTAACCCGTAGAGGTTTAGCACTCCACATATATTCCAAGCGTACGATTTATGGAGAACCTCATAGATCCACGCGCTGAACCCCCGGATTTAGTGCTCAAGCACTCCAACGGATATTGTCCCATGCTTCGGTATGTATCCGCCTCAATAGAGTGGCGAAGGGTTCATGAGAGTTTTAATTTGTGTTGGCTCAGACAACGTCCGATTTCTGGAGGACCCCCAGTTGGCCAGCACTGCACCGGGGTTTCCTATAAAATCGCATGTTATCTCCCATTGAAATTTTTACTCTCTTTTCCCATCAGTTCTGTATAACTACAGTTCAACGTTTCCAAAACAATAATTGTACCCTATTGCTTTGACCTGATCCTGCAACCATGTTCGATTTCAATCTGTACTACATTCTCACAATTATCGTGATAGCAAGCGGATCTATCCCTAAAGGTACTTCATCTTTGCGTTATATTTGTATTCGATAAATTTTAACATCTACAGGTTATGATGAGGGCGGCTTCAGCGCTTCCGTCGATCTGGCGTCCTTTAAGGCGGACTTTGGCCTTCTGCCAAATCTCTGGCTTGGTGACGAGTCCGGCCTCGCCAGTAGGAAAGCTAACATCTCATCCTTTGGCGTTCTTGGAGCAGCGTTTGGATCTCTTGTTGCCTTGATACTCACTGATAGGCTAGGAAGACTCCATACCTGGCAACTCTTTGTTGTTGTGTGGATATCTGGCATTTTCATGCAAGTATTCTCCTCTGGAATACTTGCTTTGATGCTTTTTGCCAGGATATGGGGGGGCCTTGGTGCTGGCGGCCTTACGGTTGTTGCACCCCTCTACCTCTCCGAGATTGCCCCGGCAAAGTCTCGGGGTATGGTAGTCAGTATATATATGGTTATTCTTTTGTCTTTCCTGACTATTGGTATTTATCCTCCTATGTTTATTCTTTGTCAGTATGACTACTAACAATAATAAGGATTCTTTATAAACTATGCGGTAAATGAGCTGATGGCACCAACCGCCGCGCAATGGCGCTTGGTGCAAGCTATTCCACTTATCCCCGTGGGCCTTGCATTTATCACATCGTTTTACCTCACCGATACACCCCGGTGGCTTGCATCCAAAGGCCGTGGCGAGGAAGCACTAGCAGTTTTGACACGACTTCGATGCCTGGGGGGATCAGGCATTACGGAGGAATATAGAGAGATTCAAGAAGAAATACAAACAAAGCAGCAGATTCTTGCCGAAGTATCGACTTGGACAACGATAAAGGAGGTTTTCATGAACCCAAACTATCGAAAACGATTCCTGCTCGGAGGTAAGTTATCATGTCATTTCACTATCAAGATATGTTCGGGAAACTGACCGCAACCCAGCTACTATGCAAACTGTAGCTCAGTGGTCCGGCGGGAATGGCATCACATATTACATACCCCAGATCTTCCGCTACGCTGGCGTGGTCAGCAATGACCTCTCTCTTATCACAAGCGGAGCATATGGCATCGTTAAGCTTGTCTTTACTATGGTCTTCACCTGGGGCCTGGTTGATGTGTTTGGACGTCGGTTTTGCCTGCTCACAGGCCTCTTCCTCCAAAGCATTACCCATATCTACATGGCTGTCTACATGTCTGTCTGGGTCAATGGCAGCAACAATCCTGCTTCCAACGCTGCCATTGCCTCTGTTTTTGTATACGCTGTCGGCTGGTCTATCGGCCTGTGCACGGTCCAGTATCTATATAACACCGAGATATACCCAACACGCATCCGTAATGTCTGCTACGCGACAAACATGATGCTACATTGGTTTTTTCAGTTTGCAGTCGTGCGAGTCACGCCGAACATGTTCGACAGTCTGAATATCTGGGGCGCATATGTCTTTTGGGCGACCATTTGTGTGGGTGGTCTCGTGCTCTTAGGGCTGTGGGCGCCGGAGACTAAGGGTGTGCCAATGGCGCGGATGGATGAGCTATTTAGTGGGCGCTGGTGGACACTTTGGGGAGCTAAGATTGATGTGGTTGCTGGAGGCCGGGGTGAACAGGTACTACAGAGGTCGGAATCGTTGAATAAAGGAAGAGATATGATGGTCGAGAGTGTTTGAGTGCATGACAGAAAACAAGTTGAACCTTTGGTAAAAAGCTCAGTCTATATACATGCTAATATCAGTGAAAGATAGTACATGTATGATTTTGTTTACTGCCCCAACCCTTTTTTAAATGTAGTGCGGCCAACTCCGCAACAGCTTTAGCCATCACAATTTCCCAACAGAGCTCCAACAATACCTGGCCATGAATGTGGCTGTCTGCGCGCTAAATCCAGACCCCAACACCCAGTCCACTCAAGCGCAATACAGGAATTACATGGCGAGAAATGGAAAAGCTCTGCATCAGACAAACCGCTTGCTGCGGCTTGAATGACTCTTAATTGTTTTAGAGTAAGTGAGACACACATTGGGAATACATCCTCTATAGATTCGATTGCTGGATGCTGATGTGCAAGCGACGTGAAGCGCCCAACCTCGCTTTGAAAAGATCGATGGACAGACCAGAGTACAGGATGGCGATTCTGAGGCCGAGTTCCGTCCTTGTATACCAGCATGAAATCATATAACAAACACCAGGAAAGCATGGTGCTTCAGCAATTCCACTCAAACTTTATGTCCATCGACGCCTCCTAATGAAAACTCCTTTACAGGCTTCGAAAACAATACAAGGTGCAGGCATTCCAAATCAGCCCCGTAACCATTTCCTCCGCCAATATTATGAACACCAGAATCCAAAACCATTATGAAGAGGGCGGGTTTAGTTGTTAGGGGTGGGAGAGGGCATATATGAAAAGTTGCTTAGAATGTGGGAAAGGTTTGGAACCAAGATTCGAAAAGAGAAACTTTCTCCTTGGACGTTATTTCGACACTACCCCATCTATCACCAAGCTCTTGGACAACCTGATCTGTGCTTGTGGCAGGCCAATTTGCCATGTGACCCCCGCTGGGGTTACCGGTTTGATAAAGTTCACTCAGTAAGCATTCATCCTGGCAGCGATCCCATAGTCTCCGGACGTCCAGGCCTTGTCGGCGGTAGCGTAAAGATTATTTAGAACGTAGTTGATCTCCGATTCGTGATAAGCACCAGAGCTCTGGCTGGGGGGCGCATGGTCCCAGATATAGGTGTAGACCGGACTATCATAGTCTTGAGCCCACATCTGAGCCCACATCCAGGTGCCAACCTTGGAACGGTCGGTGAATTGCGAGTTCCAAGCGCCGGATGCTTGCGCAGAGCTGTTGGCTAGGTAAAGAGCTAAGAAATCTTCCAGGAAATCACTAGTATAGGTCATATTGAGATCTGCCATATATTCCTTAATAGTGATATTCAGGCCGTAGGTAGCACCGCTCTCATCTCGGGTATTACCAGTGACAACCGGCACGTCGTTGGCAAGCCCATTGACCAGAGTATTGAGATAGTTGTCGGGCATGGCGTAGTAGTCGAGTGTAGCGGTGAAATCCCACTCAGAACCGAGTAACTCTTCGGTGAGATCATCGGTAGAAAGCTTGCGGAGCTCAGATATCGTGCTCACATTCTTGCTCAAAGTGTAGTTGACACCTTGAGACAGGGCCCAATCAAGCGTCTTATAGTTTTCAGCCAGAGTGGCAGCGAGGGGATCATGAGGCTCACGAACACCACTCTCAATAATTGCACCGACAATAAGTCCCTTGGTCAAGTTGCTGTTGAGAATGTGCTGTGTAGCCGCAGAACCAGCTGACTGGCCCATCACAGTGATGCGATCAGGATCACCCCCAAAGGCGGCAATGTTCTCATGTACCCATTTGACGGCTGCAAACTGATCTAGCATGCCCCAATTGCCAGAAGTATCCGAGCCAGTAACAGCCTTAAACTCCGCTGATAGCTGAGGGTGGGCGAGCCAACCAAAAGATCCGGTGCGGTAGTTGTAGCTGACGAAGACCACGCCCTTGTCAGCCATGCCACTACCGTCAAAGAGATCATCGGCGGCGGTTGAATACGCAGGATAACTCCATATAACAACCGGGAGCTTCGCATCAGTAGAGTTTGCTGCACTCCAGATATTCAGGTTCAAACAGTCCTCATCAATGGTATAGGTATCACTATTGACAGCAGACGGACAGACTGGACCCCATTGGTCAGCATCCAGAGTGTCATTCCATGGGCTGCGAGGCTGGGGAGCCTTCCAACGGTTCTGGCCGCCAGTGGTGGCTGCGAACGGGATACCATTCCAGACAGTGATATTCTTCTAGTTATTCAAGCCGCCAGCTGGGGTACTGTTAAATGCAGGATAGCCTTCAATTGAGCCATAGCTGGTTTCAATGGCGACGTCGTAGAGGGCGGCTTTAGCGGTGGAGATAACACCGCAAAGGAGCGCCGTGATAGCAAGCTTCGAAGAGTAGCCGGCAAACATAGCGGAGAGGACAGGATAAGGGAAACGGATGGGGAATAATGCCTGAAGTAAAGAAATATTATCCTGAAAGTGATCTCACCCGACATCTTTATACATGCCATGTGCGGATTACTGTTTCCCAATTTACGGCCGACTTTCTGCGTGATAGTCCAAATACCCACAGAAGCTGGTTGCGCCACGCTTGGTTTCTGAAGAGTAGAACCGACTACGCAGTTGACCTTAAAAAAAGGGTTGGAAAAGTCTATACCAATCGTGTTCGGCTTCGTGTTCGGTGATTCTGAGCATTCAACCAATGTCATGAATGGGCCTATCCCTAAAAGGTTGATAAAGACCGACTTCGGGAGCTACCTGATTCGCTCCCTTTTGTGATACTCCAAGACGATATTCAAAACCACTATCTGGCGATGCCAACTAATCTCTAGGCTGCAATTACCTTGAAGGGGAAGTATGTCCGATCCTTTGAATTTTCATTGGCTGATAACTCGGCCCTCATAGTTAAGCGTTGCGCGTCTTAATGCTCCCATCATATAATCGGGCCGCGGAGTACGTAGGGTATCATGAGACGACGTTGGAAGGAGGCATGCCACTGGGCGAAGAATCCTGAAGCTGTCAAAGACTGGGCTCGGCGTGCTATGCATCTCTCTGTCGTCGCCGCCAAGGATGTGGTCGAAGCATATTATGGCCAAGAAATCCAGTATAGCTACTATGACGGTTGTTTCACCGGAGGACGTCAGGGACTAAAAGAAGTCCAGACCTTTCCAGATGACTTTGATGGTGCTGTGATTGGCGCCCCTGCTTGTTGGACAGTTCACCGGCTATTGATACATAACCAACCAGGATTTCACAATCCACATGATGCCCTACTCGCATTGGTAAACTGGGTCGAGAATGGAACTGTCCCCGACTGAGATGATCGCTACCAAATGGAATGACGAGGATACGTTGGACTCTGTGACCCGACAACGACCAATCTGTATGTATCCCCAACAGGCCAAGTACGTCGGTCACGGTGATCCCGATATTGCCAGTAGCTGGGAATGTCGATCGGGTTACTGAGAAAAACTGGACCGTGTTTCATAGATTTGATATAGTCAAGCTTTGGGTGGTCACAGGCTTGACTTTCATTGATATCTCCAATTGATCGGATACAATACAAGAGTTGACAAAAAGTACTTTACAAAATAAACAGCATTGTGGGGCCAAGTGCTCTTTTGGGTCGGCCTGAGCGTGGACTGAGTGCTTAATAGACGCCTCTGATAAATCTCTGAGTAATCAAACACACTGAGTGCTCACGGGACTGTCACGTGATTACACTAAGCAGCTCACTTAAGTTTGAGCCCGGACTGAAATTTACTCAGTGAGTCTGTCTTTGAGCGCCCTTATAAAAGCGGCAGCAGCTCAAATAGAAAAGCCCCACCGGCAGAGGGAATACACTACATAAGAGGTACCTACGTACTTGATTTCCGCTGCCACTTCTTGGCGTTCTCTTTCCGTATTAGTGCTCAGACCTTGCCGCTTTTTGCTCACTGAGTAGATCTGAGCACGCCCCTGAGCGCCCTGATCCGCTCACTGAGCATTACATAAGCGCTCTGACCTGCTCACTGAGCATGCTCTGATCGTCACCTGAGCGCTCTGATCCGCTCACTGAGTCTGAGCAGAGCTTGGGGTGAGCAGCCTGAGTAAGCTACGTCAATAAAATGCAGCACGCTAGCTCCATCACGTGCAACCCTCCACTTTTAGATGGCACCCATCGTCCCATCAAAAAAAGGGCTGGAATTTCAATGTGATACTCAATCCTGGTAAAATGTCTGCAATTAATTGCGCCATAATGGAGCTTGCTATTTGGCCACCCAATCAGCATTATCGTTCTACGATCGATGCTCCTGGGAATACTTTGCCTTCTCGGTCCCGCCATTTCCTAACCAGGATTTGAAGGACTACCGGAGCCACGAGTTTTGGTTCAGTCTACTTGGAGATCCCCGACATGTCCTGGCACAGAGGCTAGCAGAGATGATCGTCAAAATGTGGAGAAAGAGAACCGCTTCTCTGCCAATAAGCGCATGCACCCAGACTTCTATAAGCAATCGGATTTTCTTTATGAGGCTCCAGATATAGTGCTCCTGGTAGCTGGCCGCAGGCTCTGCAATAGCTTACGAAAATGTCCGGTAGCCAACTTGATAATTGCAGTTATCGTTTGAGCTATTTTCTTATTCGCCATATCACCATATTCCCAGGAACCCGGAACCTTTATGTATAGAGGACGTTCAATCATGTGAGCCTTACGCCTAAGCCGGGAGAACCTTGACTCTAGAAGACATCGCGCGAGGAAGTAAAGGAAAGGAGCCTCCGTGTTCTAGAAAATCCTATGTGGGTCACTCATGGCGCACATCCTCCACTCCTCATGTATGTCGTGCGATATTCATAGCCCTTTGGAACGAACTTTGTTCCTAGGAGCCTGCCGTGCGCCCAGCCAGACCCTGTTACGCAAGAGACTCAGTTAGACGTCCTAGGAACTCAACCCATATCCACAACCCCTTAGGTTGCTAACTATAGACGTGCCAAAGGATGTCAAAAATGCTGCTGTATAAATATAATACAACGAATACCCATCTCTATCATTTACAATCTTCTGAAGTCTTCGATCAAAAATACTATATCTGAAGACAGAAACAGCAATTACTCCTCTTTGCTATGGTGAGTCTGCCTATGTTGACTAATTGTGA